AAGTATTTAAATCTTACAACAAAACTTCAAGAGTTGATTAAGAATGAATGTTCCAACACTAGGTCTACACCACTTCACCAAATTAGCAATCCATCTGAGGTGACTCATAGTTCAATTCCCGGGTCCACATTGTCGGGTAGTATAAATTTTACACCTTTTCATCCAGAGGAAACTATTACAAATTTCATAAAGAGACTTGAAATATTCCTACACCTTAAAAATCTAAGTACAGATGGTAATGCCAAAGTTTACATGCTACTACACGCTCTTACACCACAGTTACACCAACAACTTTATGATTTATGTGCACCTGAAAACCCACTTACAAAAGACTACAGTGAGTTAGTTCAGATACTAAAGGATTTTGTAGAACCACAGCCAAGTCAATGGGCTTTACAACACAAGTTTATTTCTCGTACTCAACAAGAACATGAATCAATAAATTAATTCTCAGTAGCACTTAAGAAATTAACTAGCAACTGTGACTTTAATTGTGATTGTGGAAAGTCGGTTGCAGAGATGTTTCTTAAACTTCAGTTTATTCGTGGTTTGAATGACATAGATATTCGAGCCAAACTTCTTCAAGGACGAGAGAAACGCACGTACAAAGACATTGTTAACGAAGCGTCGGCAATGGAACTAGCTAAATCTGAGAGCAAAACTGTATGTCGCAAAACAATGGAACACCTTGATTTGAACAGGGTGGATTCCAATAGTAATCAAAGGAACAAGCCAAAGAAAATGTTGTATCGACAAACATTTCAAGAAACCGGCACGAGACCCAACATAAAATTTGACAATCTAAAAGGGAAATGTTACAGATGCGGTTCACCTTCTCATCGAGCTAACAAATGTAAATTTATAGATGCTGAGTGCAGAAAATGTACTAAAATTGGACACATAGCCAGTGTATGCTTACAGGAAAAGAACCAGACTAACAGAAATTTGAAGCAATACCAGACTCAAGATGACTCGGAGAAAGGCAGTGAGTATGAACAAGAAATTAATGTACTAAGTGACAGACAAAAAGGTAAATTCATTCTTGACATAACGATTGAAGGTAAAACTGTACCAATGGAATTGGATACAGGTGCAGCCCTTAGTACAATGTCCTATGATGAATTTAAAAAACTGAATGTACGCACAAAAGTATTTAAAACCAACATCGAACTTAGAATGTACACAGGTGAACCTATCAAACCCAAGGGTATGGCATTTGTACATTGCTCATACAAGATGCAAAAATTTGTAGGAAAACTCCACCTTATTGACCAAAATGTAGATGCTATATTTGGAAGAGAATGGCTCAGAGAAGTGACAATAGATTGGGCTGAGATAAAAAATGTGAACGTAATACAACCTGAAAGTCTTGATACCATCCTCAGTGAGTTTGAGGAAGTTTTTGATGGAAAAATTGGAGAGATACCTGAGTATCTGGGACACTATAGACTTATTGACGATGCTACACCTATATTTGTAAAACCAAGACAAATACCCTTTTCCCTTAAAAGTAAAGTTGAAAATGAATTAAAAAGACTTGAAGACTGTAACATTATAACAAAGGTTGACCATTCTGACTGGGGAACTCCCATTGTACTAGTGGTGAAGCCAAACGGACAAGTACGAATTTGTGCCGATTACAAAGTAACACTGAACAGAGTAATAAAAGATGAGAACCACCCTATTCCAAGAATTGAAGAAATCCACTCTCAAATGAACGGAGGAAAAGTATTTTGCACGCTAGATATTTCTAACGCATATCTTCACATGAAAATGGATGAGGACAGCGCAAACATGCAGACATTGAGTACACATAAAGGTATGTACAAAGTTAACCGTTTAATGTTTGGTGTCAAAGTTGCTCCTTCACTTTGGCAACAGTTCATGGACAAAACTTTACAAGGTATTTGCGGAGTGCAATGCTTTTTTGATGACATTATTATACAAGGGAAGACATCTGAAGAACTCTTGAAAAGATTAAAGGTTGTTCTAGAAAGATTAAAAAGTAAAAACTTGAAATTGAACAGAGAAAAGTGTAAGTTTTTTCAAACTAGTCTACAATATCTGGGACATATAATTGATGCTCAAGGTATTCATAAAACAAAGGAAAAGGTCTCTTCCATCTTAAACAGCAAAAGACCAGAAAACGTAACAGAACTTCGCAAATTTCTTGGATTAATAAACTACTACAACAAATTCATAAAAGATTTAGCTACAATCCTACACCCACTCAACCAACTACTTAAGAAAGACGCACGCTACGATTGGACCTCAAAATGCGAGAATAGTTTTCAAAGGGTCAAATCAGAACTAGCAAGTGATCGCGTCCTTGTACATTACAATCCTGATTTGCCTCTGGTACTAGCAACGGATGCCTCTCCGGTGGGTCTTGGTGCTATTCTTTCACATCGTTACAGCGATGGAAGTGAGAGACCGATAAGTTTTGCCTCACGCAGTTTGACAAAATGTGAACAGCACTACAGCCAAATTGACAAGGAAGCCACTGGCATCTACTGGGGGCTTAAGAAGTTTTTCCCGTACTGTTATGGACGGAAATTTACTCTGATTACTGACCACAAGCCACTCGTATCCATATTCAGCCCCACAAAAACACTACCATCAATATCTGCTACTAGATTATTTAATTATGCACACTTTTTATCTGGATTCGACTACAAAATTGAATACAGAAGAACATCGGATCATGCTAACGTAGATTTTTTATCTCGGTTCCCAACTGAGCATGCTTCAACTAAAGGCAGGGACAACTGTGGCCTTTTTCAACTTAGTCAGCTCGATTCCTTTCAAATTAGTAGTTCTACAATTTCTAAGACAACAGCCCACGACAAAGACCTTCAACCAATACTACATGCACTTCAAGAAGGTAAATCAGTGGAAGCTTTTGGGTACCATGACAATGAATTAACACTTCAAGACGGATGTATATTCAAAGGATGTCGAGGATGTAGAGTTCTAATACCACAATCCCTTCGTTGGAAGGTTCTTGATGAACTTCATATCGGGCATTTAGGCATGGTGAAAATGAAATCCCTAGCCAGAAGCTACTGTGCATGGAAGAATATTGACCGAGATATAGAGCAATTGGCAAAATCATGCAAACAATGCCGTTTGAAACAAAATGAACCAAGAAAGGAACAAAATCATCCATGGCTAGCTCCCCAGGGACCATGGGAAAGGTTGCATATAGACTTTGCTGGTCCAATGCAAGGACAGTGGTACTTTACTATTGTGGACGCCTTTACTAAGTGGATTGAGGTAATACCTACTAAGAATACTTCTACAGAATTTTGCACAAGAGAACTTAGAAAATTATTTGCTACATTTGGTCTTCCCATGATTTTGGTTTCTGACAATGGAAGTCAATTTACATCTAGCATCTTCGAACAGTTCCTATCAGAAAACGGGGTGGTGCACAAAACAACTGCTCCTTACCACCCTTCGTCAAACGGGCAGGCTGAGCGTTATGTTCAGACTGTGAAGAAGTCCCTAAGAGCAATGGAAGACGAGGGAGGGAGACTAGACGTCAAACTCTTCAGAATGCTTATGCAGTTACGCCAAACCTCAAATTCGTCTGGCTGTGATGCATACTCCTTGATGTTTGGCAGGAAGATTCGTACACACATAGCTCTTTTACATCCAACACGTAATCAAGAAACTGAACAATTGAAGCAAGCAACAAGATATTTTAAGGAGGGAGACAGAGTACAAGCGAGAAATTATTCAAACTCAAAAGACAAGTGGAGTTTTGGAAGGATATTGGAAAGGGAAAGCAACCTTCTGTATAAAGTACAAATGGACAATGGAACTGTCTGGAGGCGTCATGTTGACCAACTACTCAAATGCGAAATAACGTTACCAAAACATTTCAGAGGGGAGAATTGATGTGTTTAACTGATGTACTGACTTAAGACCATATGTATATGTGAATTAATGATCACCTGTTATTTTGCATTTGTTTTGTTTGTATTAGTTTTTCTGTTTACATTAAAAGAATGAGTTTGATTCAACTGAACAAATTTACTTATTATTTGAAAATGTAACACCTACATATTGAGGATTGTCTGACAAGATGTGCGTCTACAATTATAAGTCATAACGTCACGCACTCCTGGGGCTATAAAAATCAATTATAAGATTACTTCGTTACAAAAACCTTTAGTAGATATTTTGATATGAGCCCTGTGTTACTCTGAAAATAACAATGTAGGCCTACTGTGTAATATATTTTTTTTCTATTTTTTTCTATTAAAGGTTTGCAAAGTACTTTGAAATTCAAGAAAATTTCGGTCAGTACTTGACATGCACCAGATTAACAATCAAAGCAGCTAAACAGCCAAACCGATCTTGATAAATTAAAAATTAAAAGCATTAAAATTGATGAAAAAGCATTCTATACATAATTTTAGGTACTTACTTCAAACTAATTAAAAGTACATTTTTTCTTAGCATGCGTCATATAGGTGTTGTAAGCCAAAAATAAAACAAAAAATCTAGCCTACTTTTTGGCCATGATAGTTAAAATAACCCAATTTTGAAAAGCTACTGTGTCAAATCAGATATATTTAACACTAACCGATGCTTAAACTCCTCTGCTTGAACAAATAACTAAACTACAATGTATGTAGAATGCGTCATTTAGGAGTTGTAAGCAAAAAACTAAAAAGGTCCATAAATTTTGTAGTTTTCTTTACTCCCAAAATCTGAGCACATGTAAGAATCCGTCGCAACCTCCCAGGACTCTAAATCGGAATTCCCAAAAGATATTAAAACACTTTCCAGCTTTAGACAATTTTTCAGGAAGCACTACCTTTTTGTCTAATTTACTATAAGCAACAAATAAAATGGGAATTTAATTTTGATAATAACTACTCATAATTCTTTATCCTACTTAATTATCTATAAATTAAGAACATTAGTAGACCATTTATGACTGACTACATTAGACAGTCATAAACGGTCTACTAATGTTCTTAATTAACCTCCTTTTTTGAAAGCCAACTCAAGCCCTTTTTTGTACTCAGGATGATAAAGCAGTCCTATGACAACGTCTTGGTCGTAGAGACGACAATACTTCAACAACAAGCTGCCACATCTCCAGCAGAGGCCAGTGGCTTCACCAGGCTAAAATCAAACAAGAAACAAGACACACATTTATAAGTAGGGTGATTTGATTTGATAATTGGAATTAGGAATTACTTTACAAAGATGCTGATTAAAAATGAAGAGTTAGTTAAATGTAAGAGTAATTTGTTGTTTTACATATTCAGGGTTGTAGTAATTGTACTAGGAATGTAAACTTCTTTAGAAGCCTGGACTTCCTGAATTATTGATTAAGATAATTCGACTATTTATACTGCTATTCATATTTCACTCATTTCTGTCTTGTTTTCATTCCAGTATTAATATTGTGTGCAGGGTCTTCAAAAGTCTGGAAACAACTTTTTTTTACCATTGGAGATAAGGCAACAAGCTTTACACATAAAACTATAACTAAAAATCTACTTTTAATGGAGAAAAATAATGACTATTTTCTCTCTTACTGGGGATACAATTTCACAATTCACAATGAGACAGAAGGAAATATTAAATAAAAGCATAGGTCCTGCAGTACATTTACAATGTTAATATACTATATAGAAGGTCAGTTAAAAAAGTATCCAACCTTACGTTTTATCTAGTAATCCAACAACCCCATTGAGCTGCACCCTGGCGCGTAGATCGAGGCAACTGTGAAGCACGTCTCGTGACCGGTCATGTGACCTTGACATGGCGTCAGTTCGTTGTCGGCTGCTAAACGTGAAACTGTGTATGTAGTGTTTGTCATGTTTTTGTGCTAAGTAAAATGACGGAACGGGTGGAAGAGCAATACCCTGCATGAAATTTTCCAAAAAACTGGGTGATACACAAGCTTTAGCAATTCTTAGAATTTAGCAAGCCTTTGGAGAAGAAGCTATAGGTGTAACACAGATAAAAGAGTGTTATAACAAACATATTCAAAGATGGCCGCACTTTGGGGGACGGTAAAACATTATTCTTCCGGGAGACCATCAACAAGTCAAAACGATTAAGTTATCAATCAAGTTCAAGTTTTATGGTGGAGGATCGACGTATAACTGTTTGAGAACTAGGTACGGCCTTTTGCTAGCCTTTTGAAGTTGGAATCAGTATTAGTTCAGTTCATTCAATTTTGACGGACGATTTGGCTATATGCAGAGTTGCTGCAAAATCTGTTTCAAAGCTGATGACCGAAAGGAATTGAGACTTGAAGTAGCTTAAGACATGCTGGAATGCATTCAGAATAAGCCAAACTTTCTCAAAACAGTTATAACTTGTGATGAGTTGTGGGTGTAAGGGTATGATCCTAAAACCAAGGCACAGTCTTCTCAGTAGAAACACTCAACACATAATGCCGCCGTCAAATAATGCATGCTATGTTCAACAGCTTGTCTGAAGTCCATAAGGAAGGAAGAGTTCCAGTCTTGTTTCCAAAAGTGACAGGAGCACTGGAATAAGTGTGTGAAGTCCCAAGGGGACTATTTTGTAGGAGATCATATGTTAAAACAAATTGATTAATAAATTATGCTTTTCCTGAACAAGGTAGGAAACTTTTTTAACAGACCTCGTGTAAAGCTAATAAGAATCACAAACTTTTGCAAAAACCATAAGCCGCACTCCTATCAAGTGTATACTTGAATGAAAGGTCTTGATGTAAAACTTTCCCGAACAAAATATAAGTTCCAGGATAAACCCTGTCCTAAGGGCACAAACTGAATTAAAGGGCTGTATTTAACCACATTTTAAATATTGAAGATGTATTAGCTGTTAGGTATGTTTTTAGTTAGTTTGTTTATCTTTTTCCTGAGTTTTTTTTTATTCTCATTAAAGATTTTTACTTTACAATAAAATTATTAGTTTTTATTCTGCCACACAGTTTAATCCTATTACATAGGAAAATTTCATTAAAGAATGCAATAAGTACGGTTGAGATTTGCCTGTATAATTTGCATGGCAAGTGTGTTGTTTTTTTACAGTACCTAGATTTAGAGACCCACTTTATTTGTTTAAGTATTCGTGGCCTTGCCTACTTTGTTACTACTTGATCTATACACAGAGGAACAACCACTGTGATGGCTTTATGGCGGCTGGCTTGTGTTCCTCACATAAGATTACCTTTTGACTCCTGTCCACAAGGAAAATGAAAACATAATATTGGTTTAAAGAAGTAAATTTTTAGTAACAATATTTATGTTTAAAGCTCGCTTCCATTATCTGCAATGGCTAAAAAATGAAATGCTGTTACCAGGACTATCTGGAGACAAGGAATGAAAACCAACCTGTATTCAACAAGCCCAAATTTTAAAACTATACACAATACTCATTTTTAATTGCCACAGTTTTTGCTAAGATAAGCCTATTGAAGTAGGGTTTGTGTTTCCTAATATTTTGATTAGGAGATGTCCAAGTTCAAATTGAGATTAGGAGAGGTCCTAAGTCTGAGTAGGAAGACTTGACTTACTTGACAAGTAAAAAGACCTTAAGTTTTTTTAAGTTTTATTTTTATACCTATGCTCTGCTCCCTCCAAATTTCTTTCTAACTCCTTGTAGACTGTCCACAGTATGACAAAAAATTTATATTTCTTTGATTTTTGGTACAAATGATTTTAGGTAGTTTGTATTTATCTTAAATATTTCAAGAAAATATAATCCATATAAAAATATAAAATATAATAAAGATAATATAATCTGCTGTAATCTGTAATCCCTCCGTATAATGTCAGCGTAACAAAAGATGACCAGTTATCATAATCATAATGTTTTAGTTTCAACTCTTACCCTCCTTGAGATCTTCAAAAATGCATGATACAAAGAGTGTATCACGCTTATCCTCATGTTGCTTGAAAGACTTATGAGCATTTTTGTGTTTTCTACTTGCAAGCTGTTGAAGAGATCAGCAGCATAGAAAGTTGTATCGATATTACACTTTTCCACCAGCACTTGAAGAAAGTCTGCGCCTATCACATATCCATTACTCCTGATCTAGAATGTGAGATGCAAGAATGTAAACAAGTGAAAGTGTGATCCTTCTAGTGGAACAGACTAAATTTACCTTCTACAAACTAGGGGTCTGCAGGTTCCTGATAAAAAAAGTTGGCCCATGGGATTGGTTGGCCAAGCTTAGTTTAGGTCAATTATGTTGAAGGCATGTGAGCAGCTTGGTTTTTTGAGTTAAGCCAAGCCGAGCTTCTTTATCAAGTTCAAAGAAAGAGTCTGCGAAGGTACAATACACAATTACATTTATAATTTTGCTGAGATTTTGTCTGAGTGATGTTTATGGTTTTGGAGGTAATAATTTATTTATTTCTATAGTCATTTGTACACGGCAAAATGATGATGATTGCTCTGTGACCATCTCATGGTTAAAAATAAACCCAGGACTGATTTACTTCTTTGTTTTGATGTCCCCAGAAGCCAAAAACACCATCCACCATCCTTTCAAGTTCATATGTATATGTAAGTATTAGTGTGTGTGTGACCGTTAGCATGATAGCTCAAGTAAAAACCACTACCTATATTTTGATCAAATTCCATTCAAACGTGTAACACTACATTTATTCAAACGAGGTTGCGAACCAGGATGTTTAGACTATATATGTCATTTAGATAATACTACACTTAAAGTATTTAGAAAGTCATGGGTACCTGAATGTTGTATACATTCTGAGAATGTAGCAGGTATGCTAGTAGTTTGAGAGCAGGGTGTGTAACAATCTTGCAGTCTGATTTCATGCATGCTAAAAGTGCTCTAAGGACACTGTCTTCTTCCAGGAATATCTTCAAACCTGACTCTATTAAACAATCAATATTAAGTAAAAAGTAAAAGAAATAGTCTACTTAAAAATACTACAAAAATGTTACTATGCTGATAAAATTTCACAGATTTTTAAGACACTTATAGTTTGAAGAGACTAAGGCGCAATTTCACCAAATTCACGCTAACGATGGTTTGGTTAATCTTTGGTTAAAACTAACTGACGATTTAAACCCCAGTTAAGGAAATCTGGTTTCACCAACGAAAACCCGACAAAACTAATGCTGGTCTTTTAAACGAGAGTTTAGAGTAAAATCCAGATGGCAGTGGCAGTAAACTGTCATAATACCGGGCTGTTATGGGAGCAATAAGTAAAGTTAACCTAGAAAATAAATTGGTGTTTATGAGGTAGTGAAAACAAAACTGGAGACAGCAAGATTACAATTACCGGTATACCATATATTCTAAGCAACAAAAACAAAATAACAACAGAAAACAAGAATAAATAGCTAAACAATTAACATGAGTAAATAAAGGCAAAGCAATGTTGATAAAACAGATTCAATTGAGGAACAGAGGATTGAGTTTTGCTGTAGAGTCAAGGCTCAAAATCTAACTCTTTACGGTACATTTGAAATAGTGAGAAAACTTGAGGCATAAAGAGTTACACAAGAACGAGACATAATAAAGATGCTATAAAAATAAAGATTTTCTATAAATACTAGCAGAATAATGACAATTTAGGTTTAGTTATTGTCCTAAATTATGTCTGACTGGACTAAACTAATTGTTTGGCAGTAGGGTTAGGGCTACTCAAAACTGGGAAAAGGAAAAGGGAGCCTATTTTTTCGAACAAAGAAAAAAGGAATTTCATAATGTAGGTGGAAAAACACATTTTTTCAGCCGGGATAAGAGTTGCTAATCACATACCTAGAGATACACTTTTACTAAAAACCTTGTGGGTTAACCCAAAGAAAAAGCCAAAACGTTTTGATAATTCATATCTAGTAATATAAAATTAATTTTGTCTTAAATAAACCATTAACCTTTTCTCTTATCCACCTAGTTCGGCAAACAACATAGGCAACTCATCACTTTCAAAAGCTAATTCGTATCGTATACTCTTCTATCATTTGGTCTTTCCATATAAACTCAAAACTTAAAGCCAACTGATATTTACTTAACGAAAGATTAAAGAAGTTAACCGGTCAAAATCGGCAGTTAATTATCTAATGACGGTTTAGTCTAAACTAGCTCTAACGGCAAGTAGTGAAATCCGATTTTGCCGATTTTGTCAGTTAAGAGCTAACTGCAGCTAGAGCAAGGCTTAACGGCCGTTTTGTTTGGTGAAATCGGGCCTTAAAGGTTTGGTGATACTTGATTTTTCCTGGATTAACTTTGGACCAAAAGTAAACGAATTGGACCTTTAGTGACAGAAAATTTTAATTCCACCAGAGTACATGTTTAATTGTGTGCAAGTCCTACAGTAAAAATAATGTTGAATAAGTCTTATGAGAATATATTCCTAAAAATTTACATTATATAATATTATATACCTCGGTATTCACTTATGTGTATCATCTTGAAGGCAATGACATGGGCTAGTTTTAACATCTGAGCCAGCAATAACTGTGTGTCTAGGTTTTGAGTGTTGATCTCAGTATGTTCCCATGTGCTGCCACAAAATCTTTGGAAAGCTTGAACCAACTGCTGACTCAACCTCAACATCAGCCTGGTGTCAGGAATGCGAGGAACTGTTCTGCAAGCGATGTATATGACAACACTTACGTTCATCACTGAAAACAGTCAAACACAGTTGTGGTAGACAAAATGGAAGTATATTAAAAATGTTATTTTTAATAGATTTGCTTCCTATACAAATTATTACCTGATTTGTTTACTGCATTACAGATTTGAAATTCATCGTTGAATAGCTATTAGATTGAGCCATAAAAAAAACTTATACCTCTCAAGTGAAGTTTTATTAAAAATTAAGCTAGAGGAATGAATTTTAATGTTGAACAAAAAGTGAAGTGTTGTGTGTAAGATACTGTTTTTGATAAGATTTGTTTTGTTTTTTTACGATAGGGAAATGGTTTATGCACTGTCAGGGTCTTAAGATGTTTTTTACCCTGGCGTGAGGTACTCTCACCCACTAAAAACCTATCGGTCCAGGCAATGGAATCCTCCGCGGAAACACTATTTGGAATACTTCAAGAGGGTGCCTTTGTATGCCAGAGATGGCATTTCGGTTACAATGATCCACCGGGTTCAGCTGTACTGGTGCATCACAGCTGTTCAGTTCACTTTCCTTTTAGGACTCCCCTGGAGAATGCAGAAACAGCAATCAGGTATTGAGTATTCGGGACTTGACAACATCAGTTGGACGAGGGTGTCCGACGAAACCGGTCCAACAACCTTTTCAATGCTGTACATCATCGTAGTCAAAGACATCATCATTCTGGGCTCTCGGATTTTCACATTTTATGAAGGTATGCCCTGAAACAGCCGTGTCCGGTGAGCAATTGAGTGAGATAGAAGTCTACCTTTTTGTGCTCTCGCTCAACCCACCTTTGGAGATACCAAATAAGTCTCACCGTCCATCTTCCTCGTTCATCTCCTTCCCAGCGATATCGTCAGTCTTCCATAGTACGCTTTCGTGCTTCAGTACAGCTCAAATTACCATTCCCATCACATTTCTGCTTCCTTTCAAAAGCAAGGAATAATGAGGGTTACCCCTGCAACTATGAGGACTGCTGGCTCTGACACTGTAAGGTACGCCGAGGTGATCAGCCTACTTAAATTGGCCACAATCTTTCCGCTTTCTCCGTCGCAAAAATTATCTGTTTCTGGAAAGTGAGCCGGACAATCAATCTCATTTCCAAGTACTTTACAGCGGGTTTTGTGGCTATCACGCCCCAACTAGTAACTGCAAGCTTTACGATTGGGTTGATTTTCCGTCTGGTGAGAAGCACGATCTTAGTCTTTTCTGTTGCCAAGGACAAGCTGTGGTCATCCGTTCACCTCATCACTTGACCTATAGCCAAGGCCAACAGCCTTTGCAAATCATCAACATCCTTTGCCGTTATAATTACGGCAATATGGTCCGCATACCCAACGAGCAAAGTCTCTTGAGGTATTTCCATTCAAAGAATCCTGTCGTAAGTGGATGTTCCAGAGGTGTTACATCTCTCAGCAGCTGTCTTTCCGGTGTGTTGAAAACCAACTTCCGATTCTGTAAGTAGCTCTGGAGTATCCTAGGCAAGTACGGGGAATTGCGAAGTCCGCCTCCAATGTACCCAGCATGTCAGCCCTCCTGGCTGAGTTTAACTAATTTTTCACGTCTAGTGTAGCCAGCATGACTAGCCTTCGTAATCTGGGGTTCACTTGCTGGGCAGCCTCAGAAGATTCACTTCACTCACAGCTAAAACAATTGATCGGCCCGCTCGAAAGCCGTACTGACGATCAGAAAGTCCACCTGCTGCCTCTACTGCCTGGGCAATCCTTGGCTTTAGGAGTCACTCAAAAAGCTTCAAAGACGGGGCAGCGGAATTACGCCTTCCAATAAACGTCGATTGTACATATTTAGCAGAAGGCCTGAAAATTTCCGACCAACTGCCTTAAATACTTCCGTTTGAATTCCTTCGGGACCTGGAGCTTTGTGGCAGCGCAGAGAGCCTATGGCATTTGCCATTTCTTGCTCAACGAACAAGGGTACTAGTTGGGAGCCACAGCAACCTCTTTATTCGGCCTGATCGGATAGGCCGGAAACAAAGCATCGACGATCACCTCCAACTGTACAGACCTTTTGAACAGAGGCAGTGACTTGCTGCTAAACTGTTTCTGCAAATGTTAACGGAAACATCATGAGTCTTCTGTGGTCGTGACAAAATCCTGGTATTGTTCAGCGGTAACTGAAACATCATAATCATCTCCCGCGATCACAGAAACGTCATCATCATCATGCGCGATCACGGTAAAATCACTAACATATCCCGCGACCGTGTGTGCATCATATGTGTCTCCCGCAGTCATGGAATCTTTATCATAGTCATGCGCGATTCCAGAAAATTGAAAATTATCAGTAGAAATACAAAATTTACGCATAATTCCCAGTTCAACTAAATCACGCATAATTGCCGGTTTTCCAGGTTGGTTGAAACCCTGCAAATAGTGTAGAAAGAGAGATTTTAGATAGATAATTTTATTATATTCCTTATTATATTTATATTAATATTATTTGTTTTTGTTTTCCTTGGCCACACTACTTAAAAATAATTGCTATTGAAGAAAATAAAATAAGATGACATTAATTTCAAATTAAGTTCCTTGATTCACCATCATTTAATGTACATAAACAATAACCATTTGCAATTGTGTGGCATGACATCGAATCATTATAAAGAAGCTCAGCTTGGGAGCTTGGCTCTATCAAAAATCCCATACACCTCGAAAAGAAATAATTGGGAGATAGCCAAGCAGAGCTTATGAAAAATTCAGAAATATAGGCTATACTTACATCTTTTGGATGTTATCTCAGGTGATGTCAAGCGGGATATAATGGAAGGAAGTTTGCTCCAAATGTGCTTGCTTATAATTATTTTTTGATCTGAGTTCCTATAACCATACAGCAAAAGTGTTAGCCTATTAAATTATAGTACTCTGTTTGCTAAAGCAAAAGCTATCATTGAATCATTACCTTTGAAAACTGCTTCCTGTTGTAAAATGTAAAGACTGTTTTGGTGTATGTTTGATGTCCATCATTGCTTGAGAATGTTTATGTTGACTATAATTCCTTATTTCAGAGTAAATTTTACAAGTATGGTCTACTTTTTAGGAACAGAGCTTTAGCGAACTAACATTAGTGCCCACCAGAGTCCTATTCATACAAAGTAAATGGGACCAAACCTTGTTCAGAATAGCCGGAAATGCAGTAAAAATGCATTAAGAAATAAGCGTATGTTTATATTGCCATATATTGCTTCTGTGTCTACAATCACAACATATATATCATGATTGTGGAAATCTTTGTGATTATCTACCTCAATTGTGGCAACACCTTTGATCATCTTTCTTGATCATAGTCTTCCTACTAATAGACAATCCTAAAAGAGAATAAACAGAATGCTTTTAATGAATCAATGCTTGGTCATGGGTTATTATTAGCAATTATTCCAAATTACCCGTCTTCATAAAAAACCCTACGCAATTTACAGACTTTTGTGTGGTCATAAAATCTATGATTCCTGGTTTTCCAGGCGGGACACCCTAGTTAGTACTTCAGGACAAGTAGTTTTGTTTTTTGGGTAAAATACAATAACATTTTTCGCTAACAGGTGGTCTAGATTAGGTGGACGTTTGGAGGTGTGCTGAACTAAACAACAAGAATCAAGTTTGGAGGTGTTAATGCAGGTAAGGGAGTCAGGGCCCAGTCTAGCTGTCTAGGACTCTTTAGGTAAGTTATATTTATGTTTTTCCAATGTTCTCAAGACATTAAGTCAATTTGTGTCAAGTGGTTTGCCAATAATTTTTAAATTGCATTTCCAATAATTTTTACCTGTCCAAAATGGTTTTGATTGGAGACATCACTTCATTCAGCATTTTCCTAGAACAACAGCTCAGAATGTCCTAAAAAAGAAAAGATGACTGTGATGAAAGGTGACTCCATTATTTCATTAAACTAGTTAATACTGAATCATTCTTATCACATACATTCAACAATTTATTAGCTGGTTATGAGTGTTTAATCTCTGGCGTTTACCACAACTGTTGAAAACCTAAAGGATTTAGTCTACAAATTTTAATCTTTTGAATTGATACTAAAATCCATGTAACCTACAAAGTTTAAGAATTCATCAACGTCCACACAAACTGTTCCGGTCAAAGCATTTTTGAAATGTTTTGTAGCTTTAGGAGGTTGCAAAATGAGAGAGCAGATTTTGTATGTTTATCAATTAACCAGGTATGATTTATATGGCAAGGGATGGAACAACAAATTAAGCTCCATTGTTAGATCAGCTGATCGCCTGTTATTATTTTCCAACAAAAAGTTTAGTTTATTAAAACGTTTTTATTAGCTCGCTTTCTTGTCCGTTCAGTACAAATTTTGGAATCAATTTTAAACCAACTTCCCCATGAGCAGAGACTTGAAACTTGAAACATAGCTCACAAATGGATGACAATGCAATATTATATCATTTTATTTTCAAATTTCCCTTTGGCTATGCCCCATGGGCTTCCAAAGTATCAATGTTTACATTTTGGAAGAATGTAAATATATCAATTGAAGTCAGCTGTAAATACTTTAATTTGACGGTTTGTTCAAAGACCAGAGGTTAAGAGGTACATGTATGGTATGACGTAAAATTTCGGGTAGAGAGACAAAATTAGATTTAAAATCGGGGCTTAGTGAACTAATGCGTAAAAGTTGTCTCACCTGAAATTCAGTCAAACCTAAAAATTTGTCCAGATAGCCTAGCCTACAATGAGATGGTCCAGGATTGTAACGAGTTCGTTAATTAGTTCTGATTTCGAGTTTGTTGGCTCAGATTATAATTACATCAATGCTAACGACACCGAGCAAATAAATATAATGAAATAATTTACAGGCTTTAAAAAAACGTGAATCGGTACTTCGTTGACACCGAACTAAAACAGGTACTATTAATGATACCCCCGCCGCAGCAAACCTGCCGACTAAGCGAATTTCCATTTGTCTGAACTGATTTCCAATCAAATCTATTTAAATAGCATAAGGTTTAACCCTTTGAGTCAAAATTTTTTCCCATTTTTTGCCAAGTATAGTTTGCCATGAGAGCAGTCGAGAAAATGGCGCCCGGCGACCTATATTCGGCATTCGACTGCAAAATTAAACTTTTATTTTTATTTTAGATTTTTTTAGTGTAGGTCGCCATTTTTGAGCAGTCGGGAAAATGGCGGGCGGCAACCTATACTCGCCATTCAACCGCAAAGGGTTAAGGAGTACCTAGGTTTGCTGCTACAAGAAAACTAATAAAGCAAGTTTTTTAGTAAAATATTAATAGCTCAGTATAAAATAAATAAATTGGCCAAGTTTGATCCAAATATATCAATAAACAAGCACACTAGCCTACATTAATTTACAATATTCTCCATAAGAATAAAATGGGAATTTTAAATTTTGATTTTTTTGAATTTTCTCCGTTACCAATAATTGTACAAAATCACTTTCATATACTAAATTATTTGTTTTTTATGCTCTTTAAGAAAGTCTAGAGATAAATTGGGACATTTTGTGTTTTGAGGGTCAAAAATTAGAAAAACTATTTTACCCTATCAAAGCCCCCCTAAAACCCCGTTCCCATGATCCGATCATGCTGGTTCGCGAACTCATTTAAGTTTATCCCACCTAACACCTTCAAACCAAATTTCATTAAAATCGGACAAAAATTACTCAAGTTATCGCGTTCACGGACGTATATATATATATATATTAATAAATTAAATAAATAATTAAACATTTAGTACCCTTTGGGGCGGTTCACGAGCTCGGGACTATCGTAGTCCGAGCCCAGATTCCGGAAATAACCGGTATTTGGGCCGCGACTTAAAAAATCGGGTTCACGAGCTCGAGACTTTATAAGCCACGGACCAAACTGATAGGCGGCACACAATTAATGCAGGGATAAAACCCGGTTTTAAAAGTTGGGTTCACGAGTCTAATTACAGATAGTCCCGGCTTCTGATCATTAGTCCCTCGGTCACACCCCCCACTCGGTCAATCGCCAGAGTCGTTCGTAACTAATTTTAATCAAACAATATAACGTGGTGTTTATAACACAAATTGAAATAATAAATGTTTACAGTGCTTGGTTACCACCAAAGCCTCGTTTAAGGCAGAATCTACACTTACTCGTGCGCGCAGAATCCTGCCTTGAACATGCTTGATCGGCTAAATACAAAATATAAATTCAAATAGTTATATTAAACGTGACTGGTAATTAAATAGAACCTTATTGTGCCTCTACTACAGTTACCACTGTTCGTATCATCTTGGGATTCCTAGTATCGGCTTTTGCCAGATATTATTTGTGAAGAATCGTATACTAAACGGTTCTCGACGACTCCCAGTTATTGTTTTGTGGGGAGTGAACATTTGGTCGACGGCTGAAGAACGACTGCCCGGGGCGCTTCTTGAGCGGTTCTCTCCTGCCACTTCTGGCGTCGGGGTTGAGAACCACGGTCATCCCCTCCATATGACGTCACTATGTCCAGCGTTCAGGGTGGCCTTTTCGTGAAACAAATCAACGTATTTGGGATGACCGTAAAATATAACCCCACGTTAATTTTTGACCCGTTACACATGTGCTACTCCTGAGAGATTGTAAAGCTTTATGATTATAAGAATAGTAGCAACGACATCTGATTACAGTTAAAAAGGTTTTGGTTATGTATTAATGGGCCATATAAAATAGGTAGATTTAACATATTTACATTGGTACCACAAAAAAAACAAAAAAAAAAAAAAAACATATTTACACATTAAAGGCTAAAAAGTAGAAAATAATTTATAAATATGTGGAGAGGATAAATACTTACAAGATTTAAAACAAAAACGTGGGGCGCATGTGATATATAATAATAATTCAATTGGTAAAGATAATGGTAAATTAGCTATTGCATGCACCCCAGGGCCCGTTCTAGGAATTAAAGCCAAAAATACAGAATTATGCCGCCATTTTCTAATATGGCGGCCGTAGCACAGCTTCAATTTTAGGGGACTTTTAGTATGTTCAAAAAGGAGGTACTACCAACATATGTACCAAATTCCCCGGTTGTGCTAATTTGTTTTAGGTCAAAACATATTTTTATTGTACTTTACCACCAACAGTAGAGCAGCTTCATCAACTTTTAACACCAAGTCCTCCAGTTCTTTTTGTGAAGCTGGACTCTTGTCTCTCATCCAAAGGGCAATCTGTAAGTAATATAACAATCATAAAATTAATAAATTTTATAGATATTAGAAGTCTCAAACAAAACAGTGCAGTAGCCAGGTTAGAAGCCCTTTAGCAGAAATGGCTGAAACCTTCCTCCCAAACTTCAAACATTACTATTAGAGCTGTCCAGAAAATAACAAAAGTTCTGAATTGGCACCGCTTAGAGTGGGGCCAAACATCTTAGCATGACAGCTTTAATTCCTACAATCAGTAAACATCCAGCTAAGGTATTGTGCACATCATACCTTTCTTACTTCGTCTGCAGTGGAGTGTTACATAATCAGCTCTGTCATTGGAAAACTCACATTTGGTGAGGTGCACTCCGTGATAAAAATTGTATCGGTAAAAAATCACAAGCAAATTTAAGTTTATCACCAGATTTGCAATATTTACAGCAAACTAGAGTACGGTCCACGAGAGTCTGCAGTTTAGGGAGGAGCTCATTTACCATGTGATTTTGAAGGAGCCAATGAGGACCGAAAGTTGTTTCCGAATCTAATAATACCAGCTGATTTGAAAATATTTTTTAATATATTTGAACTAGTGTCGAAAAGTAGTGAACGGGTGATGTAACGTCGCACTAGTCCAGTCTTGGTATTGGCTGCTACCAACTGCAGGCTCTTGTGGCCCCGAGTGTAGTGATGCATGAAGGCCAAGTAAGACAGTGGTGCATTGACTAATTGAGTAATAAGAATACTGCCCAAAAAACAATTCTACAAAAAAATACCCCCGCCGCAGCAAACCTGCAGACTAAGCGAATTTCCATATGTCTGATTGGATTTACACTAAAATGTCTACTTAAAAATTTAACATTTATTTCCTATTTAAATAGAATTATTTTAACAGGTACTTAGGTTTGCTGCATCAGGGAGGGTAAAACTTTTTTTTGTAAAATGTTAATAGTTAGTAAGAAATAAAAACATTTTCCAAATTTGATCAAAATATGTTCATAAACAAGCAAACTACAACAGTTTACTCATTCTCCATAAGAATAACATGGGAATTTAAAATTTACATTTTTTTGGAATTTCTCCGTAACCATTAGGCGCATAGTAACACTTCAATATACTAAATTATTTGTTTTTTTAAGCTCTACAAAATGGTTTGAAAGGATTTTGCAAAATTTTATTTTTTTTGGGTCAAAAATGGGAAAAACTTATTTTTACCCCATAAAACCCCCCGTAAACCCCCGTTCCCATAGTCCGATCATGCTGGTTCACGAACTCGTTCGAGTTTATCCCGCCTTACACCTTCAAACCAAATTTTATCAAAATCGGACAAAAATTACTCAAGTTATCGTGCGGATGGACACATATATATATATATATATATATATATATATATATAGATATATAAAAATTTGAACGAATGGTGTTTTTGGCCTCTGGGGACATCAAAATGAAAAAGTAAATCGGTCCCGGGCCTAGGTCTTACCATGAGACCTACGGTAATAGCTACTTCCCTATAGGGAAATTCGCTAAAACTTACATTCATACGACAAACAAGAAGGTCTATTCTGTACTCAACACAGATAAGTTACCTCCAAACCCTGACTAAAATCAACCCCACTGGTTGAATAAATGAAACTGCCTTAAATCGAATGAGATTTACATAGTTCCTTGAAAGGAGGACAAAGGTCATGAGCAGACTGTGAAAGGACGCTTAAAATACACTTTTTTTATCTCATCAAGTACTAAGTAGCCTCCACTATGTTGAAGGTTAACATTGCATTGCCACAGAACTTTGTGTTACTACAATATGAGATTAGATTACCTGAAATAAAGGTAAATACAGCTTCAGCAAATCAGATAGTAATTAAACTGTTCCTGATACATAAAAAACTATTCCATTTTTAAAATATATTCTTTAAAAAGTAGAAGAGCTGGCAAAACTTACTACAGACATTTGTAGGGGTTTGTCATTAATATTGAAGATCCAGTACAGCAAAGCTGGGTGATGGGTGAAAACATCACTCATCTCTGTACATTTGAGCCATTGAATAATCCTCTGGGTAGCCTGAGCTATCTCTCTGCGTGAGTTTCCCACTGACTGTGCATGTGATAGGTGTAAAACCTGTTAAAAACAACTTGTTACATGAGATTTTTTATTATCATTGTATTATCAAAAAATAATAATAATTTACAAAACAAATCAACGTGGTATTTGGTATGACTGTGAAATATTACCCCACATTATTTTTTGACCCGTTACAAGTTAGAAGGTTAGACTAAACGGGGTAGTTTTTTTTCTTTTTCCAAAGTAGGATTATATTACTTCTTACTAATATTATAAACTAGGTGAATCCCGTCGAAATCGACGGTTACTTTCAAGGCTTACGCTAATTCATCTAACTGCGATAAATTGAGTGAAATTATACATATTTTGAGCATTTAGCATTGTTTAAAGATTAATAAGTGTAAACACAATAATAATATTAATTGCGTTAGTTACCAAAATATGGTTGATCATTCAATGAATAAAATATTTCCCATGCTGTACGTCATCGGAGTTGTTAGTATGCTATCTGGTATCTCTTCCTTTGGAAGAAACTTTAAATAGTATTAAAATCGTATTGGTGGATTTTTTGTATTTATTTAAACACTTCCGTGATTTCATCAGTGTAATGCAGATTAATCTATGATTTTATTTTTTTTTTAATCTGTATGTTGGGAAGACCTGTTCTAACTTCAAAGGGAGGTAACTGTATATCCGTTACAGTGTAAGTTTGATTTTTCCTTCGTCACGTCGCGTCAGTTCATATCATACTTCTGTGCCAATGAATAACCCTCTAGCACAGTTTTTAGAAATTGGTTGTGGGGTTACTGTTAAAGCTGGAATTCCTTGACATGGGGGATGTCAGTTAGTTGTCTCAGCCTTATCAGTTTCATAAAGTTGTCAATATAATCTCTCTAGGGAATGTTAGGTGTAGTGGAATATACTTGAAGTGAAGTTGGCTTTTATTCTTGAACTTTTAGGGGCCTCCTCATTTATATGGTTGTGCAGCTTCATTGGCAACAAATAATGCCAATGACATAGTAATGTGGCATTTCCAAAAAGCAAAAAATAATGTAAATTTGCTTTTACGTAAATATTGACGTTTACGTTTACATGCATTGTTAATCAACGTATCTTAGGATGATGTAATATAGTTTAAAAGGAATATGACTTTTCTGTCATGACAGTACAGAAGACTCTCAGTAATCCGGCAGATATAGGACCGCCATACTGCCGGATTAGTGAAAATGCTGGATTACTGGAATGTTATCATTAAAAACACTTAAAATGCAATTAAAACACGTCCCCGAAGTTCGCGTGATCGGAAACCGCGATTGCCGCGATCGGGCATGACAATTACGTATTCGCGGGAGGCGATGATAACGCCTACACGTCCGCAGGAGATAATCGTAAAATTGCCGCCATCGCGCATGACGACGATGACGTTTTCTTGACCGCGGGAGATGTTAATGATTTTGCCGCGATCGCGCAAAACGGTGATGACGTTTCCGTGACCACGGGAGTAGACAATGATGTTTACACGGCCGCGGGAGATGATAAAATTTTTGCTGCGGCCGTGGAAGGCAACAATAATGTCTACATGACCGCGGGAGATGTTCATGATTTTGCCGCGATCGTGCTTGACGACGATGATGTTTCCGTGACCGCGGGAGGCGATCATAACGTCTATACATCTGCTGGCGATGTTCATGAATTTGCCGCGATCGCGCATGACGACAATGACTTTTCCGTCACCGCGGGAGATGTTAATGATTTTGCCACAATCGCGCAAGACGACGATGACGTTTATATGACCACGTGAGAGAATTATGATGCCTACACGGCCGCGGGAGATAATCAGAATTTTGCAGCGATCGCAGAAGACCTCCCGTCAAAAGACACCGGATTACTGGAGTGCCGGAGTGGTGCAGAGGATTAGAGAGGGTCTACTGTAGCTGCTTAAATAGTATTTACTCATTGGGTCATTTGTACAGCCAAAGTGTGTTATTTTCAATAATGTTATCAACCCAGTGGGCCACGGTCCGTAATATAGGCCACTGCAAATAATTTTAGGCAAGGGTACTGTGTTTGGATGTTATTAGAAACGGTAAGAGCGCAATAAAATTCTTCTGCAGATGAATTTTCTGTTGGAGAAATATAAGCCGAATTATAAATTTCACAATGCGAGTTGAGCATTTTTTAATTATATTATATGGGTAAGTTACATAGATTTTTTAGGCTGCTGCTCAGTGTACTTTAAGAATATATATTTAGAGATAAATTAAATATTTTTTTGTTGCTGAGTAGCGCTAGTAAACATGCACAACCCTTTTCGTTAGTCTAATAACATTCAAAGGCTCTCTAAGAGTTCAAGTTCTTATTTGTATACATATCTATATTATGTTTTCACTAAGATGAATGAATACATCAAAGTAACCTCTCTTAAAAGTCTGCAGTATATTGTAGTTATCCAGCTTAATGACTTTCTAAATCATGCACATATTTCTACATAAATATTGTAAACTGTTTTATCCAGTTGCTGTAAACTACTATTAATTTAACAAAATATGGACACGGCTCAAATGGGCACCGTGCCCTTCTGCACATGTATTATTTTGTATTGTATTACACAATCGAAGATTTTTCCATTGATTGAAAGCATGTATGACAATAATCTCATGGACCTATCATGATCCGTCTAGAATAATATGATAAAATTTAGGGAAAAGGTGTGAAAAAGGCTGACACCAACTCGTAAAATAGATATAAGATAGTTCAATAAGAAATAATTGTAAGAGTTATTGTGATAAAAGGATTTTCCACTGATTTCGTAATGGAACTTTATATTGCAACACATGACATGAGACAGAAGAAAATCAAGTTTCAGAAAATAACATTGCAAATGCTTCTTTTGGACTATTCAGTAACTCACAATAAATGTGTGTTGTTTAAAATACAATTTTAAAATTAACAGCTGTTTTATTAAAAAGTATTATCCACATGGCCAAAATGTAAACAAATCTGTGGAGGGATCTTTAAAGGCTTCTGGGACAGAGCCCTAAGCGAATTTCCTTCCTTTTTCTTTTGATAACTCATCTACAGACCAAGACCTTTCTTTGGACACCTCTGCCAAGTTTCTAGGCCCACCCGTTCTCTCAAATTAGTGCAGACAAAGTTCCCAATTAAATATTTAGATTCCCCCATGTTAATCTTATGGGAGAAAATCCAACTTTGATGGAAGATCCTGCCCAAACTAATAAAGATATCAAAAAACTAAAAACACTTTGCAAAACTACAGATCAGGGCAATTTTTTGGACTCTTTAATCATCAAAATCGGTCCAAAAATGAGGGAGGAGTTCTGTTCACAAAAATTTGTGTGTTTGTTTGAATGAAGTACAATCACGATTAACTACAGGACGGTTTGGGCTGAAATTTGGCATGATGATAGCTCACATTCCCGATTAACATATAGGCATATTCTTATCTCAAAAATCCATCCCAGTGGCACTGTAGTTCCCCATGTCAACCTTATGAGTATTCATATTTAAAAGGAATTAAAGAATTTAGTCAGCTGTTTCAACTAAAAAAAAGTTGGTATTTACTCAGGGGAGGTATAGAAGAGGCTACGATGACAGCTGAGGGCTTCTTATTAGCTGAGGGAACGCCATTACCGTAACAAAACTTTCGATAGCCATCGGGCCTCGGTGGTCTAATGGTTAGCGTGCCGGGTTGATATACTGTAGGTCCCGGGTTCGAATCCCGCTGGTAGCATTAACTTTTTGTCCAAGATTTTTTTTATTATCAGCAAGTTTGGTTGGTTTGGTTTGGTTATTACAGTTTAATTTTATAATTAAGTCATTATAAAATTTTAATTGAGCAATTTCTAGTTTTATTTAATAAACAGAATTATTTTTCCGACTACTAAACTCTTGTTATATTATTTCTTTATCAGCAAGTTTGGTTAGTTCGGTTAGGTTATGATAGTTTAATTTTATAATTAAAAAATAGTAAAATTGAATTTGAGGCATTTATAATTTTATTTTATGAGCAGAACTATTTTTGCGATTAGTAAACCTTCATTGCCAAAGTGCTCTCTACTACAGTGCTGTTCACGGAGGAATTTTGAACTAAATGCCTCATTTGTACCTCCCCTAAGTCAGACCCAAAAAAGTTGGTTCTAGATATGCAAAAGCAAGATTTACCAACAGGGTGCAGCAACTATTACTTTTTTGCATTTATGAAAACAGCTAATTTGAACTAATAAACAAAAAACTGTGATACGCAATGAGAACTGTCAAAGTAGGAGTGTTTACAGTTATGTTTATGTTTTTAGTTTCATGAATAATTTGTGATATTTTGCGAATTTTTGATAATTTATTTTCTCTATTGTTTAGGTGAAGTGGTAGAACATTGGCTATGGTAGATGTGTAATACTATAGTATACAGTAAATTTAAAGAAGCAAATTTCATCAAACTATGTTCTCCCCCATTGCAGTGTAACTTGAGTAAAACTGCAATACGCATTTGATACTTTATTATTAAATAGAGATAATTATAACCAACTTATAAGCCAACCCCGTACGAAGGACAGGTACTCTGCTAGTTTTGAATAAATGAGCTTGTGCAGTAATTGTCTTTTTTTGCTTCCTAATGCAGGAATCAGAGTCAGTTACAAAGCCATGCTACTTTTCTATTGACGGTGATTGACCAATAGAAGGGTGCTGTGTGACCCAGTAGAGAGGGAGGGGTAAGAACCACCTGAGAGGCGTTTGGTTCTATTATGAATAAGCATTACATTAATTTACAGATACATCCCTCGCCCACCTATTATCTGAATAATCTCTATTCTGTTTTTTCTGGCTGGAGCTTAGGGGGTTTAGAAATAAACGTGGTATTGATTCATCTCTATGAACTCGACCCTTTGTTTTAATGATCTGATTGGCGATTAGACCTAGGCTAGAAGACTAGCTAACAATTAATTTTATTTTTTCCTGTGGGCCAGACTTGTTTATTTTGAGCTGAGTCAAAAGCGAATCTCAGGTGAAATCCACATTTACTGATGTCAAAATCTAGGTCGGGTTAAAATAGGGTTGCCTTGTAAAGTATTGAATAAAAAAATATCTATTACTATACTACAATTGGTTCAAACAACTTCTGCAACTTTAGTGAAATTATGAACATGAAACAAAATTGAAAATAAACAAAATCGTCCTTGGTCACGACATAAACCAAGTGTCCCCTCCAGTCACGTCAAACTTGAGGACACCTTCCACGATTGAGGAGTAATAGTGAACATCTTGCCTGATCTAGGAGACATAATATTATTGTCTTTCTTTCATCACAGTGAAATCGTGAATTTGAATGTAAGTAAATAGAAAAAAAATCATAAGGTGTCCCCTGCCTTCACGGTAAAATTGTGTTCATCTACTGCAATTACGGGAGAATTGCAGTCGCAGAGACTCCATTATCATCTCCAATGATCGCTTTGATATGCTGATAGTACAATCTTCGCAGACGCTTTTGGCTACCTATCACAAGAATAGAGGCTAGGCTCAAAAATCAAAACCCGTTACAGATTATTGGCAAAATGTATTTTTAAGAGACAAAATTTACTTTGAGGCTCCAAGTTAGGCCCTCTCCCAACCTGAGGCCCCTGACAACCACTATGGCTGCTGTTAGAGAAATACGACCCTTATCATTGGATGTCCAAGTACTATGCACTATAATTATTGAACCAAGCAGTTAAACGGTGTTGTTCACAGTGGCGGTCCCAGGATTTCATTTCAGGGGGATGACCACTGGGAGGTCTGGGGTCCCCTCCTGGAAAAATGTGGAATTTAAAGCCTAAAAATGTATTTTTATACGTATTTGAGCTCTAAACTATGCTCAAGCTAATAGTATTTATGTTATCTAATAAAATATAAAATATTTTGGGGGGTATATCCTTCCCAACCCCCCCCCCCCCTGGGACCGCCACTGGTTGTTTACAAGAAATAACCAAGTTAACCAGTAAGTTAAAATAAAGAGAAACCCAAGAATGAAATGTTTTCCAAAATCACTTTGTTTGAAAGATATCTGGCATTTTACTATATTTTACAGAAAAATGTATACTTGTTCAACCAATCTTTAAGATAGGTTTATTTAACAACCATACTAATTTTCATAAATATAAATTCAGGTTAAAGAAGTTAAATGATGTAATTTATCGTACAAAATGGAGGATATATAGTAAGTGTTTTTGGAAAAAGTCATTCATGATGTTCACTTATTTTGACCCATAAACCAAATCCCGGAGTTTGGCTCTTTATTAAGTAAGTGGACACCCTGTCATAAAGATTACAAATATATTTGAGATTTTCCAGTAAAATTGTCAAGTGAATATAACCCTGTCCAATTTTTTTTTTCAAAACATAAAAAAGCTATTAACTAAATTGGTATTTTGAACTATTTTTTTAATACTTACTGCAAAAACAAAAGCAATTGCTTTAAGTTCGGGGGGAGAAGGAAGAGAGTTCTTGGATAGTATGTACTTGCAAAGAGCAGGCAGATGTGAACTTTTAATCATGCTATAAAATATATTGCTCATAATTAGTCTTAACCTAAGACATGTTTCTAAGACAAATAGGGTTTGTTAGTTATTTCTTTATTTTTTTTAAAGTTATTTATTTTCTTTTGGTGGTCTTCCAATAATTATAAAAGGTATAAAATTACCTGAGTACTGCCAGAGTGATCCTCTTAGTCCTTACGGATTACGCGTTTCGAGGAGCTTAAGTCCTCATCATCAGATCTTGTACAAGAAACACATCTATCACTTCGAAAAGGTCGTCAAAAGTTTAAATATACAACACGGACACATATATTTAAACTTTTGACGACCTTTTCGAAGTGATAGATGTGTTTCTTGTACAAGATCTGATGATGAGGACTTAAGCTCCTCGAAACGCGTAAACCGTAAGGACTAAGAGGATCACTCTGGCAGTACTCAGGTAATTTTATACCTTTTATAGTTTGTTCTGTGATCCAGAGACAAAAACAACTCAAAATATGAAGTTCCAATAATTACCACAAGTTGACTCAATTAAGGATGAACAATACAAATTAAGTACAGTAGGCTTAAAAATTATTAACAAAGGAGCACATAACTAAACATCTTGGAAATATATTTATTTACTTTTCATTGGAGCTTTTGAAAAGGTTAATCTTTTTTAGATAAGCAATTTGTTACAGATAATTAAATGAACCCTTTATTTCAATAATTAATCTCCCTTAAAGTCTAAATAAAAATAATTGAACTTTCAGCTTGGTTTATCAATGAATTCAAGGTCTGTGCAAGAGGAGCTGGTTGTAAATCTTTTTTTCCCTTCTAAAACGATAAGTTTGTCTATATCACAACTTACTAACATACTAAATTAATTTTCATAAATAATATATTGTTGATCCCTGATGCATAGGCTTATATTTTATCTGTGTTTTGCTATTTTAGTGACGGTTTCAATTACTTTCAAACAACAGTTTTATAAATAATCAAAGAAGTAGCATTTTTGTCAGACATTATATCAAAATCAATAAAAATGTTATTAGCAATTTTGTAATTAGCTATTCTCGTTTATTTTTTATTCTGATAATTGTAATTAGTTACAAATTTTGTTTTAAAAGTAATAGAAAAGTAATGGAAAGTGTCACTAAAATGAAAAAACAAAACATAGCTTTACCAACAGTGGAGGCATGTGCATTTAAATTAGATTATTTGTATTTCTATTTTAAAAAATCAAATGGCTGCCATTTTAAAACTAACAATAACTTTTAATAACAATGATTTGTAATTATAATAATAGGTTTTTTTAATTCATTCTTTATTCAGAGTTTGTTGAGATACCCTGTACAGTGTACAGTGTACATGGCAAGTAGGGCTCACCTGTCCCCGCAGTCGCGTAGAAGGACAAAGTTGAGATGTATGATGATGGTCAAGTGAATGTAGGGAGAGTGATTAGTTTCAGCAAGCAACTCAGGCCATTTAGTTGAGTCTGCAGGTAGCTTCTGCAATGCCTTTCTGATCAGACCACCAATCCGCATTGGCAGTTGCAATTCAACCAGCGCAAGCCATGCCAGGATATGATACAGAAGATTTATCACACTTTTATGGACAGATTTCCTCCTGAAAGAAAGTTAATGAAAATAATCGGTACAATTTCGTTATAGTTCATGGGAAGTAAGCACGTCTTATACCAACACAACAAGCTTGTTACTACAACAAAGGAATTATAATATGTGGTTCTTTAATAAGTATTTTGCAGTTTAGTTATAGTTGAATATTTTTTAAGTTAATTTTTCCTAGTGAATTAATAGGCTTTCATTTTAAGCAACTGGTTGCCTAAAAAGTCCCAGGTTCTGTCAGCAAATTTGTTAAATGGAGAATTAGTACTCTACCATAGCATCACAGGCAGGGCCGGATTTCCCAATAGGCCCGGTAGGCCCGGGCCTATGGGCGCAAGGTCCCAGAGGGCGCCCGACCGAGAGGATTTTTTTATATCTAGAAATGAAAATAAATAGTCTTAGTTGATAACAAAAAACTGCCTGTTTAAGCGTTGTGATTCTGAGGTTCATAAGAAGAAATAATTGTTAGGAAACTTAAACTATTTTTCAGAACTACGCATCAATTTCGTTACAAAATTGGTAGCGAACGCCGGTTATACGGGAGTAGGCTGTAGGGATTTTGACGTTGACGAGCGCCCTAGCGGTACGCATCGTATTTCCACTGCACTGCCACTATTCTGGCTCGGACTCGGCACTACTGATCAGAGTGATTGGAAGTAGGGGCGCATGCGTGGTAGACATTGTTACCACCCTCACTTCACAAAACAAAAGTTATTAACTAATAAAAATATATAATACGATGTGTTCAATATAAAAACAACGATGAATTTACCTTTAAAATTTACGAAAAAATATTAATTTCAGTTTGCATTAGATTTTAGAAAAATTCAATACCCTCCAAAGCACCATCAATGCTGTAATTTTCTCCTCAGACCTAAGGATCGGTATGGTTGGCAGGAATATTGCTCTGTTTTGCTTTGGAAATATAACCTAGATCATTGAATAATCAAAGCCTAGATGCAGTACAACCATAGATTAAATATAACTCCTTCAAGTCGACTTCTTATGACATTTTTAATTCAAAATTTGTCAATGTCTAGTTTATGTTGGTGACACTTGACGTTAGTTATCACGTAATTTTGTTTCTATTATTTTAGGGTTAGTTCTATGATGTGGGTTTTAATTTCTTTTAATATAAACAGGAGACGACATATTTTTAATGATTAGATTGGTTTATTCTGGATAAACTAGGTTTAAATATAGATAAAACGTACTCCTTAAATAAAAAGAATTGTTTTCAGCTAGGCTAATCCAAAACGATGACAAATCTACTAAAGGAGTAAGTTTAATCTATGGTATCACGTACTGTATGGAGTTCATGTTTTTGACCCTGAATTGGAATCAATGGCCATGTTTTTTTGCATGAATGCTCGGTGAGTTGAGTTGTTTTGTTTCAGTCCCACGGCGGCCACGGCCACAAACGTGAGCATTTAATAAAGGCATAAATTTGCTAAAAGTGTTTAAGACGGCATTTTGTTAATGCTAAACAAGTCAATTCTTTAAAAAAACTTGCAATGCAACGATTCCGACGAAGAGTGGTATTCAAGCAATTAACTTAAGCCTATGGTCGTGATATAGCTTTAAATAAAGGTTTGAAGGAAAGTAACTGTGACCAGACTAGGGGGCGGAAAATTGTTTTGGGCCTAGGGGCGCAAAAATGCTAAATCCGGCCCTGATCACAGGTCTTTTTCAGGGAACCCAAACACCAAAATCACAGTATATTCAAATATATGTTATTATTGTGTTCACAGGCAAAATAACAATTAACACTCTCTGCTTTTGATAAAACTTGTATCAAACATATAAACCAACAATTTTGTTCACAAATTTGTATTGCTGCTTGTTCCAACTACAGGATGAAGCTTTATAAAGTATTATTCTAAATTGATGCTTGCAAAATGCAAAGACCTATTTTAATAAGCAACAAATTGTCTTGATTATTATGATTTAAACATCATTTACAGAAAAAAATCAAGTAACACCAGTAATAGACACTTATGGTGAACTAAAGTTACAATAAGGCGTTAGTAGCTTACTGAGTCAAAAGATTGAATTCAGGCAAAAGGCTGAGATATCCATTAGTGGCCAGGAGATTGGATAGAGTGATCTTTTTGGATTTATCCAAACAATCATATGCAGCCAAGAGACAGTTTAACTGATTCAATACAACATGTTCATCATATTTCTTTGCATATATCTCCTGAAAGTAAATATGTTATGAATCTACCTCAAAAAGACAACTTTTAAATTTCAATTATAACAATAATAAATACAGTATTGACATATTGACGATGGATCAAGTGTGTAGCGTGTCACTACATTTTGCGACGAGATAGCCATACTGCTAACCCACTGGCACTATCTAACCAGCGCTAGTGTCCTCCTGGGTGTCGATTCGGCCTATGGTGGCATGGTAGCTCAGAGTGGTAGCTCATGGTGGCATGGTAGTCATGACTGATCAGTACAGCGTTGAGGTCTTTCTACATGTGTGGGTTCGAGTCCTGTTCGTGTGCAACCCATATTGAGCTTCGGCTTACTAATGTGTGGCTTAGCTGGAGTGGAGGGTCCATGGTGCACGGCTTGGGTAGAAGTTGACAGCATTAGTTAAAAAAGTAAATATTGCAAACAGCATCTTTAATGTTTCTCTTTACATTAAGATAGAGGATGAGGACACTTTTCATCTTTTTTGGCTTTTATTTAGGTTAAAGTTGGACACATAGATTAGAAAAACATATTTAATAACAGACATAAAAAGACATAGCCTAAAAAAAAAATTAATAGAGAAAAACAAATAATCCAGTGTCAATAGAATTCTGCCTCCAGAAACAAAATGTTAAAACATCACAAATTTAATTACCCAAGATAAATTATACAAATTTTGTTGTGTAAATAATTAATTGAAATAGGTGAACTCCTCATTTACAGAGGGTCATTAACTCTAAAATGAAAGGTCATTTAGGATATTTGTCATACAGTAGTTTGGTTGCTATATTTTGTTGTCATAAGGTTGGTAGTTGCCCTTGATTCAATCAAATGCACACAAACTATAAAATAGAAACACAGTCATTCACATAACTAACAAAAGTGAAGTAGTGCGGTTCTGTTTTGTTTCAAGCGTAAAATTAAGTGAATAGAGAGGACTAGTGAACCCGTGCGGCTCAACGCGCCGCAAAAATACATACATGAATTTAGAAAACAAATTCATACTGTCATATATTGACTCTGAGTCGAAAATAAAATGTAATGAATGAAGCCTTAGAAGGAAAGCAGTCCATCAATTTTCTAGCTCCATATGTCTTATATTTAGTAAATTAATAAGCTATCAAGTATTTCATAGTTATTTTAAGATTTTATAACACATTTAATAAAACATTGTAATAAAACCAATATGTAGCATATTTGAAGAACATAAAAATGCTTCTTGAAGAAACCCCTTTTAAAAATAAACACAAAAAAACCTATTTTATTGACAACAGTACTTCCTTGAATTAACTTACTAAGTTTTTATATGTGAAATCACCTTCAGGAAGATTACCCTGGTCAGAATTTTCCGTGATGAATATGTGTACACCATCAAATATGTAGCCCTACTTAAAGCAACACATAGTTGCCCATGACTGAAAACTGGTCTGGACAAGAACAGTACTACTCTTTTAAGTGATTGCCCTTGTGCTTTATTGATTGTCATTGCAAATGACAAAGCTTATGGAAATTGGCATCTTCCCATTTTAAATGTTAAGTTTGTTTCCGACGGGCACATTTTTATTCTCGGAATCAAAATATGTCCCCCCGCACTTGTTCTAGTTAAGACTTTCAAACACACACATTCTATTAAATTGTTACCGGTAACCATTTTGGTCACTTGGAGCCTTGTTCCATTAATGAGGCTCTTTGGTGTATTGATATTCCTCATCAATAAAACCACACTGCCCCCTTGTTTAAGATCAATCTGTGCCTTGGCAATCCACTGACCTCTATATTGTTTAAAAACTCTGTTGGACATTCTAGATGTGTGTTTAAATTATCTGCAAGCAAACTATCAATGCTTTCGTACACCTTGGGCTCACCTGGCAATTTATCCAAAACTTTGTTGTTGATCAAACCACAGACACTGTTTATGGAGCTAAAATAGCTTTGTCTTTTATTTGACCATTTTGTATACTTTCAACGACGTTTGGGTGGATGAAATCAACAGGGCATCCAACTCCAAGCAATCTTGCTGGCAAAATAAGGAATCAATTAACTTTAGCCTATTTTGACTCTTTTATTTTCTACTTATGCATTTGCGTCATGAAGGTTCATATAGCTCTGCTCGAAGTTTTGGCTGTTCCCTAAACCGAGACGTTCACCTTCAATTCTCATAAAAATTTCAACTATATATTGAAGTGTAACCTTACCACAACAGCAGAATACTGAAGTCTAACAGATAGCCTGTGGGCGCGAACTGCAAATGTGTAACAGTGTTCCAGTGTGTAGTTGCCCGATCAATCAGTGTGTAAGGCTATTGGATCAAGACCTGAAGAGTGTACAGCCAAATCTTCTAAGGTTCCACTTTTAGGATACACAACAATTAATAAAAAAACATATTTTTGTATAGAAACAAACTTGAAGAAGAGGATTTGTTTTTGTTCTGGTAGATCAGCTGTTTCATGTCAAATTAATGATTGTCAAAGATTTGTGATTTTGAATGTTACAGTACAGTTTTGTAAATCATGGTAACTTATTCTCAACTAAATTTTACTATTCTTCAAATTAAAATAAAGTAGTATGATCCATTATAAGTACACTTTAAGGTATCCAAAACATGATTAAACTTAATATACATTTACAGGTATAATACACACCGATTTATTATGTAGTAGACTTTGACTATTTTCAACCAAAAACATATGTTTTTATAAATAAAAATTATCTCCCATGTTATCCTTATGGAGAAAAAACTGACTTTAAGGGCCTCTGACGCCCTTACCAACGACTTTATAAAAAATCTAATATCGTTGGGCTCAACTACACGTTTTAACCTTTATTTTGAGACCTCAAACGTCAAAATCGGGCGAATAATAACAGAGGAGTTTGATTAACAAAAACAAAAAACGGCTTAGCCTATTATCTATATAAATAAAATTAGAGTTTTGTCTGTACTTTGCTCAGAATTATATACTTTTAGGTTATTTTTACGTTTTATACATTAAAGAAGCAGAAACGAGTCTTATCTCTATTTCTGTCTGTCTGTCTGTCTGTCTGTCTTTCCCTTTGTCTGTAACACTCAAGATGACATTTTACGCAATCTTCTCCGTGAAAACCAGAGTACCTATCAAGATCCAAGTCATTTTAATGTATTCACTGGATTGGCGAGAGTGTCTTTAGTGATTTAAATATAGCCTCACTACTTTGTAAATAAAATTACGGACGTTCAAAAATGCAGTTTTGTGCGATTTTTGTCAAATTTTCGTTCAATTTTTATCACATAATAATCGTCTATGAAATAACGAACAGCTGTTCGGATCAAGATTATTTTTTCTAGCTGTCAATGATATGTTTACAAATGTTGTTTACAAATACCGCAACCATTTCGAATCACGTTTTGAAAGCAAATCCCAACCAAGTGAGATTAAAAACGTTTTTCTTACATAACGGATTTAATTAATCGCAAGTGCAATAATATAGTCTAATAGTGTAACCGTAAATGAAATTAAATAAGTTCTTAGGTAGGTTCTTACGTAGGTACTGGTTCTTTTCCTTAGAACCGTTGGTAGCTGCTAGAATCATTTTTACGTAGGTACCAACACATCACTGTAGTTTACAAATTAGTTATCGTTGGTGTTGCACCTTATTTATTAGAGCCGTCCGTATTCAATTTAAGTGATGTCTCAACTCTGTATAAGTTTTGCTTTTTCTGTCTGGATTCTGTCTGGCTTACCCGGTATGCTAAGAAAATGATAACCTATTTGAGTAAAACATTTGTTGGGCAAACCATCATGAATTGTTTACGCCTTTATATTGTTTATGTATCAATAGTTCGTGGCCTTTTTTTGGATTGTTGTGTGTATGTCTGTTGGTAACTCATTAATGTCCTTATTTCTCAGTGTTTCACGGAATGGACAAGAGCACCTTTGATACTGAAAATGTCAACCGGAATAAAGTGTTAAATGGTGAGGTTGAGGTAGTACTTTAAATACGTTTAAGTTAACCGATGTGGAAAGTAACTTTCAATTATAGGCCTACTTTAGGGCTACGCTTCATGGATCTATAAAACATTTTTTAGTTTAATCATTGGACATATGGACCATAACGATCCGGGTGACATTTGATTGCGAAGCATTTGTTTTGGCTTGAACTGTCAGATACTGTATTTGCGAAGGTTTATATATAATAGTTTTGCCAGCATATCTGCAAATATGCAAACTAACTGCTGTTCTTAATCTTAATATAAGAAGGTTTCAACTGACTACTATAAGATCCCGTGCGTAGAACGGGCACACAGCTAGTATATATAGATATAGATAGATATAGATAGATATAGATAGATATAGATAGATATAGATAGATATAGATAGATATAGATAGATAGATAGATAGATGATTCAACAAATCCAAAACTATGATAGCAATGTAAGTATGGGATGGATACATAACATTTCCAATACAAGTTTTTATTTATTTTATTTTTTTTATTTAGCCTAAAACTAACTCTGGCTCATATCTTACAACGTCCACACAGTGGAAGATCATTAAGCAACCTTTTACTTAACTTGATTATAGAATCGTATATTTCTATTCTATATAGACATTTTAATATGTACATAGGTAATTAATTATTCAAACCTTGAGAAATGGGATTACTGATGATACAACTAGACTCCACACAACATTGGAAGCCCTTTGGGCTTTTGGTGAATCTTCATGGGAGGAATAGTATCTATAATACAGAGAAAAATGTTAACAAAATACAAGCAGAGCAAAATAGTTGACCTAACAGGTAAACAATAGAACTCCAACCATCCGGATATATTTGGATCGGACTCCGGATAAGTTTGATTTGCCATGAGACCCCCTGTATGGGAAATTCTCTAATATTGCCTATATGGGAAATTAGCTAACACAGCTTGCTGTCAATACAAAATATGGGGACAATGAAATAGTTGTGATACTTGGATAATTTTGCAATGATGGAATTGTTTTTTGCTCATAACATAGAATTAAGAAGAGTCTCTTTATCCAACCCAGAAATTATTAAATAGCCACAAATGGACAAACACAGAACCAAGAGCAATACAGTAGGGCCTACTGGAGGAAAAATAACTATTTTTCTCCTTGCCTCCTCTCAGAGAATTCGGCCATCTATCTGCCAGCATCATTATGTTGTCATAAAATAATCCGTGATAGCAGCCTTTCACACTCGTGGTTAATTTGAGAGAATATTCTACTCCCAGGATTGTTAAGACTCCATCATCCTCTGATATGTGATTGCAGCAATATCTTGACATTCCCACAAGTTCGCAAAAACATCATCTTTGTCTCCTGTGATCATAGAAATAAGTCGCTGGGGAGTGTACCCAGCGGTCCCAAATACATCATCATTGCCTCTGACTATCACAGCAAAATTAAGAGCATCTCTCATGTTGTTGTGACAAAAAGATTTTTAATTACGAAAAGCCATATTATTGTGTTGTAAGTTTTAAAAGGGTGTGTACATGAATTTACTAAAAATCAGTTTAGGGCAATCAATGTATATTTAATCAATGAAGGTTGTAAAATGAACCATCCCCCCTAAAAAAATCCTTGTGGCGCTGTCCTTCCCTCCAGGCAGCCCTGTGTTTTCCCTAAAATACATGCCGTGTGATGGACACTATTTGCAAACATTAAAATATTAACGGTCAATGGATTACCAAAAACTGCAATAACTAAATTTTCTGGACAATTTTTCCCCCTTGAGGTGATTTAGATAATTAGCGATCCAAGATGGTTGGAGTTGAAATAATTCGAGTTCTACTGTATGTGGAATGAACACACCTTCCACTAAAGTAGTAGACGCTGCTCTCACTTTAATACCAGGGTTGGTAGATGAAATGATCAAAAGTTAAAATAGAAAGTAGTAATTAATATTTTTTTCATGTCATGCTGAAAAGTTATAAGCCCTTAAGTAATTGTATAATTGTAATTGTGTAAGCACGATCGGGCGGTTTGCACAGATTGAGCAAGTCTGGGTTGCAATGGTTTGGTGCCATGGGTTTGAAATTGTAAAAGTGATTCTCCTAAAGTTGATTGACATTTTTGCTAACTGTTAACAGTTCCTTTTGAGCTAATAATTTACCTTTTGCTTTCAATTTGGTTTTAAAAGTCTATGATAATTTTGTGGATTCATGAGAACATCATTTGTAGTTTGAATACCAAACTGTACATAATAATAGCAATCACTAAACAAATATTTATCATTCACCATGAAAATAATTTATATTTACCTCAATGAGGATGTTATGATGCTTAGGGGAGTATTGATATATTTATTGAATCGGTGGGCATTATTTCTTCTCAATTTATGGATTAGAATCAAAGCAGTATAGATTAAATCAGGCAAGTTTTGGTGGTCAAAGTCCTTAAAGAGAAGAATGATCTTCAAGACGCTCATCGCATTCAAGTGCATCGCATGAAAGATATGAGATCCCAAAATGACAGACAGTACTTCTATAACGTGGTGTAGGTTCACTGTCATGTCGTTGCCCCGGCTGTAAGAAAAACACATCTTAAAGTTGTAATGATACATTTATATCATTGAAAGTTCTTGGTCATTAATAGGGTAGTATAAGCTAAAATAATGAATTAAGACTTTAACTATACTAGCTGTACCCGCGGGCTTTGCCCCATTTAACTTCACAAGTGAGCTCGTTTGCATGGCTCAATCACGTCCTGGTTGAAGTTCGTTCGCTACGCTCACTCACCTTTAGGTTGGAGCTCGATCGCTCCGCTCACTTACCTTCAGGTTAGCTCGTTCGCTACGCTAACTCGCCTCCAGGTTGAAGTTCGTTCGCTACGCTCACTCACCTTTTGGTTGCAAATTGGCTGTAGTCATAAATTATAAAAAATAATAGTGCTGCACCCTGTTGGTAATCCTTGTAACTTTAATGCTATTGAACATCATAGAACAGAACCAACTTGTTTAATTGAAACAGCTGTTAAGAAATTCCTTTTAAATATGAAAAATCATAAGGTTAACAAGGGAAACTCCAGAGCCACTGGGGCGGAGCCCGATAGCTAAAACTAGACTTAGTTTTCCTATTTAATGCCCAAAGAATCGGTGTACCGAATTTCAGCCTCCTAGGTAAATGGGAAGTGGGAGAATTAGTGATGAGTGATGAGTGATGAGTGAGTTTTGCCTTTTATATATTTAGAATATAGAAGATACACCAAGATTGGACGTAAGAAGATTTAAAATGGTTAAGTACGGTACTAAAATAATTTACTGTAATAAGTAAGTGCTCGTAACATATGTGGCTTATTAAAGATAGATTTGTTCAATTTAGTGTAACTTAAAATCTTACATCAAATGTACAATGAAACCTGAACCAATATCAACCTAATAGGATTGTAAGATTAATTTTCAAAAATATATTATTACAGTATTTTCGGTATATTACAGTACATATACCGAATGTTTTTAAAATTGAGAATTTATGTCAACAACTTTTCTCATTTCATATTGATACTATGCATGGGATTGTTACCGAGACAACTACAGTACATTCCCAATTATCTGAGCCCGGTTATCTGAGATAGTTTTTGGCCTAAAATATATTTTTATTTTCAGTATGAAAACAATAATTACTTTAGTAGGCTATGTATGAATTTAAAGAAGCGTAAAAATAATAATTAATTTGTGATTTATTGAAATGAACACAGTACTTGGAATAACCGATGAGCCAATGATGTACATAATGAATAAAAAAATACTCCAATGGAAAATTCTTAAGCTTATTCTGTCTATTTTCTTCGTCTGCCTACCTGTCACCAGTTACGTGTTTTGTATTGCGTACGGGAGTGTTTACTGAATTCATCCTCATAGCACTTCGGATTCGTTCAGCTATTAGCAAACAGCTTATATTTTGCTAGCAACAAAACCCGTTGTGGTTAAATACAACGGTCTCCAGCAAAATAATAGTTACGAAATTCGCATAAACCAGTTTACTAACGCATAATATTGATACAGATTAAGCCCATAACTTTGAAACACACATACATGACATAAGGAACACATTTTAAGCCTATGGCCCACGACGAGTTGCACGGCACTCACAGCTTGAGGCGTACAGCCAACAGAATTCTCTCATTTCGTCCATATCGAAAAACCGCAGCTGAAATAAAGTTGTGCATCCGGCCAACCTAGTTCCATGTGATTTCAATTTTTAAGGTTATTGCGGTTCATTCTAACGTTAAAATAATACAAAAAATGTTACTTTTTTATTTAGGAACGATATGGGAAATAAAATGTTTTAGCTTGGAAAGATCAATTTATTTGACTTTTAAGAGCAGTTTGGTGAATATAGTCGAAATCGTTTTTGATCTGGAAAGCAAACGGAGTTCCCACTTCAAAGCCTCATAACTCGCTTATTAGACAACTTAAAAATTTAAGGTGACATTTTTTACCCTTATTCTTATTTTTACCTTTATTCTACCAAAAATTATTGTAATTTAATTTCAATTGAACACCCTTAATGGGTACGCGTCTAATTGGCACCGCGTCAGATTGGCACCGCGACAGATTGGCACCGCTCCTAGAGGTGCCAATCAGTCGTAACAGTACACGACAGATTGGAACCTGGAGAAAGGGGTGGTGCCAATCTGTCGTGGTGCCAAGCTGACGGCTGCCGCAGAGGTGCCAATCAGTCGTAACAGTACACGACAGATTGGAACCTCGAGAAATGAGTGGTGCCAATCTGTCGTGGTGACAAGCTGACGGCGGCCGCAGAGGTGCCAATCAGTCGTAACAGTATACGACAGATTGGCACCGCTGCCCTCAATAGGCCCACCTGTTCGTTTTACTTACTAGTCTGATGTTTGAAAACAGAAACGTGTCAATACTTGATGCATGTCAATTAATGCATACACATTGATAATAACATTAACTTTAACAGCACAAACCGCTTCGTAAATGGTCCATCTAATCAAAGTTACAGTTCCTCAAGGCTTTTAATATTATGCCATTAAACTCATGTTTATGATTTAGAAAACGTCTGATACCTACTAAAGTATTTGACACAATTGAATGAAATCTTGCAGTCATTTTTCGGAAGTTGGGTGTGCGTTAACCTAGTTAAAAAAGGTTTTTTCATTCAGAAGTTACAGCTTGTCAAAGATATGACAATGTATCATTCAGTTAACTAATATTATTTCAATGAAATGATATTTTTTATGCATTATAGAGTGATAAATTGTGATATATTTGAGATGCTGTAATTTATTACTTAATTTACCTTTTTGTAAACAAGATGTGGTTGCACGCAAGTAGGCTTGCCCTATAAAATAATTACCGGTACTCCCTTCTTGGACCAAAACTCTAAAATCAGGTAATGTATAACTCGAGGTATGGTTACACTGAATATGCAAATCTTCTGAAATGGGGTTATTTAGGTGAAATTTACGTGGATTAAGATATATATAGCTATGGAAATTGAAAGTGGCCGCTATGATGGATTTTCTGCCTCATATCAGGACTTTGAGAGAAAATACTGTACTTTAAACACTTTCTTAGTATGCATCTAGATATAGGCTACATGCCATGATGTCGTGTTAGAAGCAGTTTGTAACTCGAGACCGGCTGGATCTTTTTAATGATTTATGATTTGTTGGGTTCGTCTTTAACCCGATTAACACATGTATCTTCAGTTCAGTATTTAAATTTAGGGCTAAGCCCCACATATGTATGTTATGCGTGTGAAGAAAAATATGATGGTTTTTGATCATATGCATGGATTAATTTAAGTACCTGGGGACCGAGCTTCGCTCGGGGAAAATCATTATTTTACTCTGAAAGCAGTTTAGGATTTCAGATAGATTAATCCATTCTCAAACTCCACACTGCTCACAGTCATTTTCAGCGGTTTTATGTTGTCTGTGATTGTTTTTAAAAGGCTTATAAAGGTGGCCGGTTGATTTGGTTTTTTTTTACTTTTATGGGGTACAAAGTTCGCCGGGTCATCTAGTTTGTAATGTACAGTTCACTCAATGTTTCTGTAAACATAACAATAAAATACGTTTTATATTAATTGTTTTTCGTGTTAACATTAACAATTCGCATGTGTTTTCCTAGTAGGCCTACGCTTTATTAAGGAATCTTGATCAACAGTAATAACAAAAACTAGTCGAAATCAAAATACTACCGAGCAAGGCTTGGTCCTAACAGTAGGCCTACTTGACAAATATTAGGATTGAGAAACAGATGGTGTGGTGTAGTTAACTGAACTGTCATTAATAAAAATACCCCCGTCGCAGCAAACCTGCATACTAAGCGAATTTCCAATTACCCGGCTTGATTTCTAGGTTTGCTGCTACGGGGAAGATGTTGAGGTGTGTTTTTTCAATTGAAATATTGATAGCTTAGTATAAAATAAGCCAAATTGCCAAATTTGATTAAAATATATCCATAAACAAGCAAACTAGAACAGTTTATTTATTCTCCATAAGAATAACATGGGAATTTTAAATTTACAATTTTTTAAATTTTCTCCGTAGTCAATGAACACTCAAAAAAACTTCAATATACTAAATTATTTGTTTTTAAGCTCTTCAAAATAGTCTAGAGAAAAATTTAGAAATTTAAAGTTTTTAGGGTCAAAAATGAGAAAAACCCATTTTTACCCCATAAAACCCCCCATAAACCCCTGATCCCATGGTCCGATTATGCTGGTTCGCGAACTCGTTCGAATAAATGTAGGTTTACACGTTTGTACCAAATTTCATCAAAATCGGATCAATTTTGCTCGAGTTATCGCGCTAACGGACACACACACACACACACATATATATATATATATATAATATATATGAATTTGAACGGATGGTGTTTTTGGCCTCTGGGAACCTCAAAACGAAAAAGTAAATCGGTCCCGGGTCTAGGTCTCACCATGAGACCTACGGTAATAGCTTATTCCCTATATGGGAAATTCGCTAATAAAAAAACGACCCCTAATGCCTCCAGGGTCACAGCACTGACGCTAGTTTTTATTTATGGCCTTGTCCTGTTTCAAAAAAGGACCATCTTATAAAAGGTGCTTGAAAAAATATTCGAAAACCTCCCAGCGTGGAGTTTTCCGGCTTCCTCAAATTCTCTGTACGTCCGCTCGTTTGTCAATGTCAACGTTTATGTTGAAGACCAAATTGACAGTTGGAAATGCCACATAACTTGCAGACTCAAATATAGAAATCCCCGTATTTTGAATAGCGTGAGGATGCCAGCAGTCCCTGGTGGTCGCCCGTAACAAAGACACTGTTGTTTGTCAACAAGGGATTAGGATTGCCCGTCTACCTGTTATGGGGGGAGGACGCCCCGACTTTAAAGCCAGGTTATTGAACCACGAGGGAAATAATAGCTACGGTAAACCATCAGGCCAGATTTAGATTAAATGTGCCGCACACACATTATGTCAGTAGTGAATTGATATACGGGACTCGTATTAAGTGTACTGTACACTGTACTGTCAATAAAGGGGGTTCAATGATTTTAATTAACTTTAATATGGAAATCATTTTTTTAATATGGTATGGTACGTGTTATAATGACTTTTCTAACATTAAATTTGAACATAAGGTTAGGTTTCTCCAATACAGCATATGCAGACTCACGATAATCTGAGCCCCAATTGATCAAGCCTCCGTAGATAACCGAGCTCATCGGAAAAGTATAATATCTATATATCTAATTCCGTAAGCCCAAAATTTTACAATGAAATTGTGAGCGAACTGGAGGCCGTAGAAAGCTGGGAGGGGTCTCATTTTAAAGGTCTGGGCATGAAGTTTTGGGGAAAAATACTCATTTTTCTTACTTATGCACCAAAAGGTTATTACAGGATAAAATAAATCACATTTAAATAGCATGGGAATCCAGGTCATGTCCGATTTGTTTACTTTAAAACATGTGGTTTAGATTTATTTAAAGCATATGGTAATATCATTGACTATTGGCTACAAAAGTTGTATTAATAGTGTTAAAGGTAGTATGTAATATATGTATTGTATGTAACTATAGTGCATTTGAAAATAAACATGCGTGCAAATGAAAATGAAACAGCATTTTGTGATTGGCTTCTACGCTTATATTAGGTAATGGAATAGAGAGCAATAGGGCAACACCGGCAATTGATATTCCAGATAACTTTGTTCTCTCTGATTGTGCAATTGTTTATGGCAACTCAATAAATCTAGAAAATATTCAAAACTACTCCAATCAAATAATTGTAGGTCCTTTAAATGAACAATGTGATAATTTAAATGAAGAAGTATTAAAAATCTACTACAGTAATTATGAAGTAGTTTCAGAAGACCCTACAGAGAGGTTGAACATACCAATTGAGTTTATAAATTCAATTACACCATCTGGAATGCCACTACACAAATTAGTTTTAAAAGTTGGTTCAATAGTGATGCTCATAAGAAATAGGGTCTGGATAACTAATATCTACAGATCCTAATATGCCCTTTAAACCTTCCCAAAAGTTGGAATTTATTTGAAAAAAAAAAACAGTGTTTACCCATGGTCAACTTTATGTTGCTTTTAGCCGGGTAAAGCGGCCAGATGACGTTAAAATAGAAATGGAAACAAATAAAGACCAAGGAATGGACCAAAATGGATACTACACAACAAATGTTGTTTTCAGAGAGATTTTGTTACAGAATTAGTATTTTACAATTTGGAAGATGACATTATCTCTATGTGTTGTGTTTTTCTAAGTGAATTTGTCTATATTTAAAAAAAATGTATATATATTTAATTAATAGTGAAGATTATTGAAAATGTTCTTTTGCTGTATTATGATTAGAAAATTTATGTTACAAACCCACCACATGAAGAGTCCTTTTGAATTTTTATCCTAAACAGAGCAGACATAAAAATGAATTATGCAGGTATGTGATAACTGTTATACATTATTATAATATACAAAAAATTTAAACGATAATTCAAGGTAGGGTACGGTAACCCATGAGACAAATAATTTGTACAAAATAATTATTATAATATATTACATATACTGTATATAGGGGCTATTGCCCCTACAAGCCACTAGTAATAACAATTAAGCTATTAAAACCGCGAAAATTAACGTCAAAAGTGAAGTTTCTTTCTTTTAGTGCAGTAGTAAGTAGCAACCAGGTAGCAACATTATCCTTACTAACAGTTGTTCGCTCAAGCTGTTGATTACCACAAATAGTACGTTCGTCTTACGCAAAAATCTTTAGTAGCAATTGTTACATATTTTACTGTAGGCCCTGACTGTGATATTTTGTATATTCCACGAAGCACGAAATGAAAGAATCCTTATTCACTAATGCCACATCTGATTCAAAGTACAATGCTTAATCAGTTCAAAAAATCATTCTATAAACATGCTATCTGGTAGCAAAAGCGTAATGAAAAAATCAGTCTAAAAGGGCCATTACACATTCGGCGAGTTTCTTGCAGATGTTTGGCGGTTTTTGCACTCAAGAAGTAGTTGTGATTTCTTCCCTACGAAAAGGGATTTGTTTGAATTTTTACGAGCAGGAAATATTTCTATAGTTAATCAGGAATAAAATAGATTTTCCTACAGTCACCTAACAGTGTTCATGTTCTCTCACTGATTTGAGAAAGCAAAGTGGCCAATTCACTCAACAGTGAGACAATGTTAACATTGTCTCACTCTAATTACTTTGTCTCACTCCAGATTTGCAACGTGAAGGGACGAAATAGTGAGCGCAACATGCAGACAAGGTCGTATGTGCGCGAAATACGTTGGCAGCACTGGCTGTAAATCAGCTGGTCAGCTGTTGTAGCCATTGAGATATAGATTATAACTGGAGTCACTACTCTCTGGTTAAAGATTAGAGAAAAACGTGCCACTGTTTTTGCTTGTTTGTTTTCGGCGTTTCGTGTTGTTAGGTTGGCCGTGTGATCGGTTGGTGGGATGCTGTCAAATTCCAATTCATTCTAACATAACCATACTATTCATTTGAGGTTAGGCCTATCCGTTATTTCAAGGACTTGTATCAAAAACTTATTTAGGTTATTGCACGTTAAAACCTGTGCATTTAAAGTTATTTTGAAACATATAATTTTTTTTGATGGTAAATAAATAGGCTACTAACTTATTTACCTCTTTTCAAGCTATGTGGTGAAAATAGGCTAGTCAAGTTTCCTGGTTTAGAGATATTGCCGATATTGGTTTAGTCTTGGGTTTATCCTATGGCATTTGATAAAGAACGACCATCGGTTTATGATCTTGTTAAAATGGGTTGCTCTTGCTCGTAAAATAAATAATTAAACTTATATTGCAATCATGATGTTGACATATTTTTGTTTGCTATCAACAAGACAATAGGATGACGCCATCTTGATCTTGCCTCTAATTTGACAAATCCCACCAACCGATCACCTGGCCAACCTAACAACACGAAACTCTGAAACAAAACCATCAAAAACAGTGGTACGTTTTTAAAACACAGAGTGGTTACTCCAGTTATTATTATAGCTCAGTGGTTGTAGCCTACTGTTGTATTTGTCACTTCACATTAAATGGCATATTAAAAGATCACTTCTGTGTAAAAATATGTTACGTTGTTTGCCAAATTATTTGTTTTATGGTAACTGTAGGAAAAATATAATATGCAACTCGAGTGCAAAGTGCAATTGCCTCACTCGAGGAGAAACCATTCCTGACTCGCCTACGGCTCGTGAGTAAGGATTTCTCTCGAGTGAGTCAATTGCTCACTTTTCTCACTAGTTGCACAAATAACTATTGCCACCTGTTTCAACTACACAAGTTGGTTCTATGATATTAAATAACATTAAAAAGATATAAGGTTTACCAACAGGGTGCAGTACTACTAATTGTTTAAATTGATGACAACAGCTAATTTTAACCAAGCAGCAACAAAAAACTGTGATACAAAATGAGAACTGTCAAAGTAGGATTTTTTCCTGAGGTATGTTTAGGTTATTAATTTAAGAAATCAATTTTGATATTGTGGGAATAAGGCGTTTTATTTTTTAAGTGCATCGTTCTTTAACTTATTGACTTCATTTTTTCCTATTTGTTAAAAAAAAGAACTATTGTGTTTGTATGGTTTATTTCCCCTAAAATAATGTTTGGGAAACGGAGTATCCAGTTAATACTTTTCGGACCTCTAAAAGTGTATCTACATACGACAAATCTATGGAACATAATTATTCTCTTTAGCGTTCTCTTCCCGTTGCGAAGAACGGGTATGACTGCTAGTTAACCATAAAAGAATGTTAAATACGTTTTTTTAATCAGGATTAGTTAAATAAAATCAGTACAATTGTTTGTACAATTAACAAATTATGATTATAGTACAGACAGTTGCTAATTGCTGCATTTACTTCCTTTTGCCACAATCCAGTATTCTAGTATTCCAACCAAACAACACAAATTGTTTAAAAAGCAACATTATTTGTTCTTATTTTTAACCTATAATAATAATTTCACAAGAAATAATAACTGTCCGGATTTGTTAACATCAATCAGTAGTTGTTACTTGCAAAAGTAAACAGATTTGTTTGTAATTTTATATCAAAATTCACAGAATCTCATTGTAGAAAACGTAATAACATGTATGTTTGTTAGTTATTAAAATATGTTTAATTTACACATTAGGCTACCTGTAGTATTTACTTGTCAAGGCAGACGTAAACCGATTTGCTAGAAATTTAATGTAAAATGTCAAAAAAATCATGACTAAGAACGTAATGATATTTGTTTTTGTAAATCATCAAAAAGTTGTACAAGCTACATATTTATACTAAACACATTTATTATGAGTCAGTGTCCCTTGTTTCCGTGGATGTACGTACGCCCCAACAATAGGAGTCGGACCCGGAAAACAAGACGATTAGTGATAGTTGACAGACTCTCTGTCTCACTCTGACCGTTCCAAAACTTAAAATATTTTTAGAATGAACTTAAAATTTGATTATTTTTTCGGGAAGTCGTAACAGTTTGATACGTTTGCCCTTTGCAGTATTATTAATATGGTTTACACAAGAATCTACAGAATGACTGTTGAAGTGATTGACTTTAAATTAAAGAACTACATTTTAACGTTTTATTTTATTTTTGTATATTATGATTTAGTTAAAATGAAAATAAAACGTTTAATTTATAATGTACGTTAGTTAGATGGAAAGTAAATAAAAGAAACGTATTATAACATTAAAAACATATATTTACGATTATACTGTTACAAGACGGTAAATACACAAAAAAGATGGTAAATGGTTACCACTTACCATCTTTTTTGTACATTTACCGTCTCTACTTGAATACAGTACCGGTACTGCAAGTAGTTAAATCTCATTCACGAGGAACAGGTGTAGTATTGACTTTTAGAGAAGGATAGGATTAATATTCCAGCTCCACTCAATATTGCACGCAGAAAACTGCGTTGTATTTTCAAACCTCATTCAAGAAAGGGGTGGTGCCAATCTGTCGTGGTGACAAGCTGACGGCGGCCGCAGAGGTGCCAATCAGTCGTAACAGTACACGACAGATTGGAACCTCGAGAAAGGGGCGGTGCCAATCTGTCGCGGTGCCAAGCTGACGGCGGCCGCAGAGGTGCCAATCAGTCGTAACAGTACACGACAGATTGGAACCTCTAGAAAGGGGTGGTGCCAATCTGTCGTGGTGCCAAGCTGACGTGGGGTGATATTTCATGGCCTCATGTCAACGAGGTTCCAATGTGACGCCGGGTGCTAAAACACCATGGTGCCAATCTGTCGTGGTGCCAATCTGACTGCGACTCCCCTTAATTGACAAACCTACAAAGACGTGAGTGAGTCAGTAGAATAATTTACTTGTAAAATTCAGTAGGTATGTTGGAAACTGAACCAATCACTGCCATCAATAAAAGAGTAGGCTATGTCAAAACAACTGGTCTATCAACTTACAAAATCTCAATTCCATCTTTGACATTATGTTCAGATTGGGACTCAATGATGCATGAACCTGAAAATGAGTGAAAAATGTGGGCAATTACTGATGCCATACTTAGATAAAAATTTGTAAAACTTACCCAGATAAAATTTTACGCAACAGCTCTAACCCTTTGACAATAGAAGATAAATGTTTTCCTTCACTTGTCAATATCATGATTGTGCGGCATGTGGTTTCTACGACTATTGTAGAATTCTTTTGTCGGTAGAATTCCTCATGATTTGAAAGCTCCAAAAGGCAGGAAAATACTTTTCTGAAATATATTCTGCAGTTAGAGTGTTGATAATACAACCCTATCATTATTTGAATGTCTAATACTTATGATCAATTATATCAACCACTACATCATGTTTCCACAGAGAATTTGATTGAGAAATTAATCAATTAAATTAAATTCATGCTAAATAAAAAAAATACTGTAATGAAATAATGTGAGTTTCAGTTTTTTTACACCTGAGGAATTTTAAATATCATTTGCAAAGGGTGGTCAAAATCCTTGGTCTTAATAGAATCCAACCTGTTGTTAGAAAGCATAATTTATCATTATCATTATCAATATCAATTAAGAGTGGATGTGACAAGGGCATATTTTAACCCCAATCTGAGTGAAGGATGACTCTGTTGAAAGAATCCTCTTGTGAGATGCCTTGTGTAACTCTGTTACTGACTAAGATTGTCTGTTTCATTAGTATTAGGATCATTATTTATTGAAGCCCAATGCCAAATTACCACTGTGTCCAGAATTGATCCTCATCAAGATTGAAACTGCTTTTTCGGATTTGAAAATATCAATACCTAAATGGTTAATATAAACGTAAACCATATAAATGGTAAATATGGTTAGTATAAATGGTTAATTTTGTATAAAGTAACTTACACAATAAGCTTAGGATCGTGGTTGTTCATTATGTCGCAGAGCAAACCTGGTATATCAGCCCCAATCAGAAATTTAATCATATCTTCATCATTGCAGCTCTTCACAATCTCCATTAGTTTGTTAATTGCAAGACCCTATGCAAAAAAATAAATTATTAATATTATAAATCATGCTTCAATGAAACTTATGATAAAGCTTTTATTCAACCAAGATGTTAGCTTTGTTTCCTCTTTGGAAGTGAACATGAAGTGGAATGTAGAGATAATTTGTTCATATGGAATTCATATGGTTTTGAATGAGTAAAATGTGAAACTGTTGAAAATGTGACCTTGTATGCAGCTGCAGACAAGCCTTGTGTTATTTTGTATTTAAAATAAATTTCTGAAACTTGCTGTTCAGTTCTTTTAGTTAATTTGTTCTTTAGCCTGTTTAAAATTAATTACAACAGCTGATATTTTTAAATAATTCATTATATTGTTACCTATTACAAATAAACATTATTCTATTCTGGTTCTTCTTGTTCACATGACTTACTCATTTTTCTCTCATAATTTTCATTTATTACACACAAACACTCCACATTATTTAATGGTCCTTTGAGCCGGATATTACTTAAGCGATTTGGAATTACACTCAACCAGTAGAAATCTTTTTATAATATTTCCTCATTTTACCCATTGTTTTCTGTGCCTCTGAACTCTTACCTAACTGAATTCTTATTTCCATATTGGAACTCTTAACCCTCTCAAATACACTTTGTGAATTTTTTAAATTTATCTCATCATGTTTGTACAATGGTATCTCCAAATATTGATTTTAAAATTGAAACTTATATGCAACTCACATCTTTTATTAAAGTTTGTATGAACAAAATAAAAACATCATAGATCAACTTGAACAAGAAGAAACATTAACATTTGTGCAACACAAAGCCTGAAAGACTCTTATGCAAGAAGCCCAGAAGAAGAAAGAAGACTTTCATTCTTATTTTCAGCAAATTGTAAGTACATCAAGTGAAGATGATTTGGATAATGAAACTATAAGTCAAGATGAAGATCAAATCAATTACCTATTCATCCACATTACAAGCTACATAAAATCACTGCTTCCTGAAATTGGCTCTAGCCCGGATTCGCCCAAGGTTGGTTGCAGCCCAGCTCAATCTCAGGTATGTTTAACTAAATTTGAACTTTCAAAATTTGATGGAAATCTAACTAATTGGACATCATTCATAAATTTCTATGACTCCACTATCCACACCAATGACTCTTTGTCTAGTGTAATAAAATTTCAATACCTTTTGAGTGTATTGGGCAAAGAGCCACTAAATTTGATTCGAAGTCTCCAAATTACTGGACCCAATTATGCAGTAGCATAGGCCTACAATTTGTTAAGAGAAAGATACCACAATGACAGGCATCTACAACTTTTACATTTAAATCAACTGCTAGATCTACGTAACATTTCTAGTTCAAACATCACAGGTGTGAGAGATTTTGTCAATCGTTTCAATGAAAACACTCAAGCTTTATCAGCATTGAACTATGATGGCCAAGACTCAGAACTTGTTGTTGTCCGTAGTCTTATTAAGAAAGTTGGATCTTAATCTTTGTCACAAATTAGAATCAGTTTGTAACAAATTTGATACATCAGATCATTCATTGCCTACTTCAAGACAGATAATTACTTTCCTTAATAATGAATGCACTTATTTTGAGGATGCTATGCTGTCCCAAAACATGACCAGTAGTGAACAACAAATGACACCCAAATATTCCTTGAACACTAACAAAAGGTTCCCACTTCAGAGAACTACTACAGTGAATGTGGCCAAACCTTTGTTTAATACTCAAAAAGACAGTTGACCAACACCAAATACATGTTTTTTTTGTTTTTTTTTTTGTAACCAACTAAGTCATAAAATCTACTCGTGTTCAAAATTCCTTGCCTTGTCCCCACATGAAAAGGTACCAGTTGGTTAAACAATCTCAAAAATGTGTTTTATGTATTGGACTACATGCATAAAAATTTTGTCTATCTAAGTCATCTTGCAAAAAGTGTGGAAATCACAAGCACCACACACTGTTGCATTTTGACCATGTCAAAAGTAACCAAGTTTCACTTAGTTCTAACGAGTTAAACAATCACATTGATGATCAAGAATCGTCTAAGATGAAACCAAACACATCCGTTTCTCCAGTGTCACCACATCAGTCTATGCAAACAAATCTCAATGAAAATAATACTGTCTTACTTGAAACATTGTTAGTAAAAATCACTTCCTCTTCTGATGAGCCACATGTGTTTTGAGCTCTTCTTGACTCGGGCAGTATGTGTAATTTAATAACCGAACATGCAGCTAGGATCTTAACTTAAAAAGAACCAAGTCCAATACCCAACTAACAGAAATCAATCAACATGTAACTACCAACAGAGGGCAGATTTTAATTGATCTCCAAACTATGTCGGGTAAAATGGTAGTCGAAGCTCAACCTGCTCTCGTCCTTGAAAAGTTGACAGTTGATGTTCCTCGTTCATCCACTTCATCAAGTCCAGCTCAACCTCAGAGAACCATTGCAATGAATGTAACCAACCCGAACTCATCAAGTCCAGCTCAACCTCAGAGAACACCACTGCAATGAATGTAACCAAACCAAACCCATCAAGTGAGTTTCAAACCAAAGGCACCCAGCTTATACAACCTGAAACAAAACTCATCACAATAAAGAGGCTGGTGGCAAACACTATGCCTAAGTTCGCAAACTCAAAAATTAGAAATACCACAGTGACAGTGACAAAACCTCAACCGACGAATACAGATACAACAGTGAGCTCAACTACCTTGACAAGTGATAGAGCTACTATCCATCCTACCAACACTGCTGTCTTCCCAAGTGACCATGCTGTTAATGCTGTTATAGACCCTACTGATAATGCTGTCACCCATCCTACTGACCCGGTTGCTATCCAATCGACAGACAGTGCTGCCGTTAACCCAATCCACAGTGAAACCACTACAGTAAAGACAGTCAAGCAATCCAGTCAAGTGGTTATATCTTCCGATGGATCTCTGACCAATAGCTACTCTTCATCCCAAACCACAAAGGAAACGCTCAGCCTCCAACATCAACTTGTTGAATTTTTGAAACAAGAATACTTGAAATTGAGGAGGTGTTTGAACCCTCGAAACTTGTTAACTTCTATTCTTCAATCTCATCATGAAACACCAAAGTTCCTTCAAAACTCTGATGATCACCATTTCAAAGAGCTAGGACTTCAGTGGTCTCCAGCAAAAGTTTTTAAGTTGTACCCCAGGAAAGATGGTATAGGTTGAAAAGCAAAAGTAGGAAAAAGCAACCAGCTGCTATAGCCGGCCTACAACAAAACTTTGTGTTCCTGTGCTTTGCTCAGGAAACTGTTGAAGTGAGGACACTTCAAGGCCTGGAGTATGTTCAGTTCTATTAGTTATTTTTTTCTTTAGCCTGTTTAAAATTAATTACTACAGCTGATGATTTTTAAATAATTCCTTATATTGTACAAATAAACATTATTCTATTCTGGTTCTTCTTGTTCACATGACCTACTCATTTTTCTCTCATAATTTTGATTTATTACACACAAACACTCCACACTTGCTTTCTGATTTTTTTTTTAATTCCAATAAAACTCTGTAATTCCTATAAAAAATAAGTTAGGCCTACCTAAAAACATATACAGGGTTAGTAAAAAGTGTGGAGACCCCCCGTTATTTTTTTAACGGGCCCATACTAGAAAAACTAAACTCGGCACACCTTTATGACATGAAGTTCTTTTTGGCCATAACCGTCACTTGGTGTACATCCCCAAAATGGGGAATTTTGGGGGAAACTCAAAAATTTCAAATACAAAGACCCCTCATTTTGAAGGTCCTGGTAAAATAAAACCAACAACACAAACTAGAGGTCTTTATTTTAATCCAGTAAAAAATGGCAGCCAATTGAAATTCTCAGAAGTTCAATTTAACTTACACCTTTCCAAGTCTGGAGACCTGCTGTAAATTTTGTAGCGGCTCACACTAGGAAAACTAAACTCTACACACCTTTTTGGCATGTTATGAAGTACTTTTTAAGCCTAATATAGCCACTTGCTTACCCAACCCAAAATGGGGGATTTTGGGGGAAACTCAAAAGCTTTAAATGATAAGCCCCATCGAGTGACCCCTCATTTCGAAGGTCCTGGTAAACAAAAACTAACAACGCATACTAGAGGTTTCTATCTCAATCCAGTAAAAAAATGGAAGCTGATTAAAATCTTTAGAAATTGGAAATAAATTGCAATTTTATATTCAATTAGCTGCCATATTTTACTGTGTTAAGATAGAGACCTATAGTTTGCGTTGTTACTTTGTTTTTATTATGACCTTCAAAATGAGGGGTCACTCGATGGGGCTTACCCTATCATTTAAAATTTGTGAGTTTCCCCCAAAATCCCCCATTTTGGGTTTGGGAACTTATGAGAATTTCAATTGGCTGCCATTTTTTACTGAACTGAGATAGAGACCTCTAGTTTGCGTTGATGGTTTTCTTTTACCAGGCCCTTCAAAATGAGGGGTCACTCGATGGGTCTTTTTATTTGAAATTTTTTAGTTTCCCCCTAAATCCCCCATTTTGGGGATGAACGCCAAGTGGCGGTTATGCCCAAAAAGTACTTCATAACATGCCATAATGGTGTGCCGAGTTTAGTTTTTCAAGTATGGGCCGTTAAAAAAATAACAGGGGGTCTCCACACTTTTTACTAACCCTGTATAAAGGTAGGCATATGATAATAGGTCTGATTTGAGACACAGTACCGGTAGAGAGTTTTAAATTAGTCATCCGACCTCTGGTTACGGACTACCCGTCTTATTTCCCTTTTACCTGAGTACAATCAAGTACTTTGATAGGCTATTGTATGCTATTTCCACGTGTATTTTTGTGAGTTATTTGAAACTGGCTCTAAACTGTAGCAGGCGGCCGAGACGACCCCTTTACTACTCCTGAATGTTTTTTTTTTCTTTTTCATAATATATTAGCCAGCCATTAGGTAACTTATCTGTACTGAGTTAACTCAAGCACATAACTAGGCTATTCTTTATTAGTTCAAAAATATTTAGTGAATTAGACCTACCTGTTTTTTTATACTCCTAGACATGAAGTACATTTTAAGGGTCTTTATCTGTCTCCGAAATGAGTTCCTCATTTTTTATTGTGGGCAGGAGAATTTGGCAATAAATAATTTTGTATCTGAAACAAAGACAACAAAAGTGAACATGCAGCTTAATTCAAGTGGGTCCAGAACAGGGCTGAAGCTAAGAGGTGGTGAGATAATTATAATGTACCCGCAACGGCAGGAAAATATTGTCCGTTGCCCGTTGTTGTAGCTTGGATGTCACACGTCGCGTCCAGTGATTTTACAAAATGTATCCGTTCTTCCTAAGTAAATACTGATCGGTAAATGTGTAGGCCTAATTGTTTGTGTTTGTGTCTTGTGAACTATATATTGTTTTGCCTAAACGACGTGCAATGGACTGAACATTTCTGACTGGACCGTCTGATGATAGCACAATGTTGTGCTGAAACCTAGGTCGCAGTAAAAGAATTATTTTAAACTGGAGACTAAAGGTTGGCTACGGTATTTTAACCATCATATTACATCATGGTGTCCCCGCGAATGTGGGTGATGTTAAGCTTTTTGTCGGCATGACACGATGCTGATGATGACTCAGCGACCGCAGGAGATGTTCTCCATGGTGCCACAAACTTGATTGATTTGTTCAGTTTTTAGGCTAGTACTAATTATTCTTTTTATGTTGTCTTCGGTCTGTTGGACCAACACACCCTATGTGCATTCGGTGTAGAGGACCAAAGTACACAATTGCAGAAAATATTACGTCATCGGACTCACAGACTGAAGACACCACTCTAGGGTTAACATTTCAGGCCAACTAAGCTACAATCCAACAGGTTTAACGCTAAAACAAAGTAGGCCTATACTCAATGGCTGAAATTAAGTAACTTAGGCTAAGTTTAAAAACCGTGAAATTTATTTACTTTGGTTTATCTTATAACCTGAAATAAATATAGACCTAATACTAACTTATTTGTTTCATTCATTCACTTTAGTGCCATCTTTTTAATACGGTAATTTAATAATTTTCGATGAAATGGCGACCATACAAAGTAGGTACTGTAGCCTATTTTAAGCCAAGTATGAATGGAGATGAGTGTAGGATGAGTGGCGCGATCTTGTAGTCTTGTTAGTGACTAAGGCCGACATATTCCTTAGACACAGCTGTTAATTAATAGCCCATACAGCTAGCTAATGGCAACTAAGGGACCTACAGTTTATAGTGGAATCCGAACCACATTTTTGCCTTGGTATATAGGCCTACGAATTGGTCTAATTATCAGGATGGTAACTTACTTCGGATAGGCCTAGTCATAGTAGGGCCTACTCACTCATGGGGACGTTAATCCACACCAGAGAGTATCCCATCCACAGTGCATGCCTATAAATATCCACAATTCGTGACCTCTTAGTAGCTGGATTACAGGACGACGCCACCCGTCCCAGTCTAAGTTAATCTACTTCCACTTCTAATCTAATCAGATCAAGTAAATGGGGTACAGTTTCTTAACTGGGCTACGCTAATATTGATTGAAACTATCGATTTGATTAGGAAACCTTCATGCAATTTTTTCACCATCAGCAAGTTTGGTTGGTTAGGTTAGGCTATGATATTTTAGTTTAATGTTATATATATATTTTAAATTATCAATTAAGCTTAACTTATTATCAATATTTTCAATTATTTTTATAATCTTATTTTTTATAATTTATAATTTTTATAATTTATTACTTATTTTTATAATTATAAGATAAATTATCAATATTTTCAATTCGATAGTTTCTATCAATATTAGCGTAGCCCAGTTAAGAAACTGTAGGCCTACCCAGTAAATGTTACTTAAGCTATTCTGGCAACAGCCAATTGGGAGGCGGAGCTAGTGGTTAACGCTCATCAATAGTGGTAAGGTGACCACCATCTTGTCAAAATTCATGGTGGCAACTTGACCTGTCACTCCCTCTGCCTATTCTATTGTTGTTCTGTGTTCCCTGGTTACAGTAATTTAACTTAATAATCATTAAATAATTTAATACAAATAAGTTTTAACCCTCGAGGAATGGAAAGATGAATAAAATTGAGGAACCTGATAGCTTGGTCAAAACTTGTGGGAGTGCCCCCTAATTTTATCATGGTAAAAAAAAAATTGTATTGGCCTAACTCTAATTCTTTGTAGGCCCTACCCGTCAAATATTTAGAAATTTTAAAAACATTACCTTAATGAGTTAACAAATACTAATTAACTATATCAAGCCAAGCACAAAATGTGTTTGCTTAAATTCCAAAGATGAGCTTGTTTAAGCTAGAACTTGTAAAACTTGCCCTCAGGACTTTAACATCTTTATAAGTTTTCGCTTCTAAATTTGATATTACATTCTCACAAACAGATACAGGTAACTTGTTTACAAACGCAAGACATACTACATTCTTTGACACACAATAGACACTCAACTACTACTAAAATAATAATAATAATTTTACTTTTGGTTTTGTTGTTTTGAAATCAAATCAAGAATCAAGATAAGATTGAAGGAAGAATAAGAAACCAAACCACATCACTTTTTCAAAACTCTTCTTCTTTTCTTGTTTGCCTAGAAGCAGCTTGTTTGGTAAAAATACCATGTAGCTACGTTATTTAAACTGAAATCACTAATAGATTAAATTTGACCTGGGCTTTCTTGAAATATTAGTCAGGTATCAGAGCCGCCTAAGGTGGCTGTGCAGGTATATGGCCTCTAGCAAGAGGCCCTAAGGTGATGTCAGATCAAGACAACATCGATCAAAGTGGTCGAACTCAAGACACAACATGACATTTAAAATTACGACACTTTTAATTCCGCGGCGAAAGGATAATTTAAAAGCTCCTTTAACCAAATAGAATGATCTAACCAATGACTCGTCTTTAGTTATATAAGCAATTAGTGAAGAAAATATATACTAATGCATTTTGTTTAGGGAGAGGAGGGAAAATGCTTTTACGCACACAGGTAGCCAACCTGGGGCCCTATTTTTGAAATGGTTGACTGTTGAGTCTATCGTCAACACTCAACTCAACCAACAACTGGATTTGGTATTTTTGAAACCCAACAGTTGGGAAGCGAGTTGGGAATCACTAGTTGAGAGACTCGTGGTGGAAATGTAGAGCATACGACCGTCAAAAATTCAGATGACGTCATTTTGAACCAATCACAATGCAGAGTTTTTGCGGACTTCGATTTAACCTCTTCTTACTCTAAAATCTGGCAGCTAATCTCAATCTGCCATATTTCGAGACACTGAGGTAAACTTTCAACTCCGTTCTTGAGAGATTGAGATTGAGGTTATGTCTTGCTTAATCTTAAATCTTAGTGATTGCAAAGTACCTTAACTTAAGTAATAGACTAAAGTAAACTAAATAAAGTAATAAACTTAAGTATAAAAAATAAAATTTACTATGGATGTTTGTTTTAGGGTGTAGCTAATTAAAAATTTAGGCATAGGCTGCACTTTACTTTAGGTCCTACACTCATCCTAAATACATTATTATTTGCTTTCTTCGTCTCTATTTCGGAACACATAACCTTATTTTAGTTTCCTTCATCGGTTTGTTTTAGGCTATGTTATTTTTAATTGTTTTTTATTTGGGTTAAAGCGGCTATTTGCCATTGCACTGAAAGCATATCGTAACTTAAATTAATTTGATCCCTTTATTAGGTGAATGGTATTGAAACAAACTATTATACAGTATTGTTTCTCTCTACCACAATCTTTAATACCTTAAATCATAGGTCTAATAACAATAATTATCTTATAATAAGTTCAATTAGTATGCCTAGTCTATTTCAAACATTCCAACAAGAATAAAACCCTTGATTAAATAGTGCGATTATTCTACAGAAAACAATCGCATAATTGGGTGCTAATACATTGACAACAAATACATAACCTCTAAATCGCAATTAGTAAATTAAAGCAATAACAAAACAATATGGCGTCGTCTCAAAAAGAGTAATTTTTTGCCGAAAGAGAGGAAGAAGAAAGTGCAGTCAACCTCCACTCAACAGCTCGATAGGTGTTGAGTAGTTTTGGTTGTATAAGTCCACCGTCAACCGTTTCAAAAATACGAAACGATTGGAAATAGAATGACTCGACACTCAACTCAACAGTCAACCATTTCAAAAATAGGGCCCCTGTAGTGTGAGACTCCTGAAATTATCAGACTACTCACTAAAAAACCCCCTCTACTCTGTTGGACACAAACTTGGAATTGTTTGTCACATTACCTCAAGTCAGGCCAACATGTGACCTATAAGCCCTCAGGGCTAGCACCGTTTTTGGCATTTAGATTCTTTATGACCTACACCGCATCCCGGTCAAGGTCAAGCTTCTTGGCGCGGAGAATACCCTGGATGTAATTTGACACACAGGTCCAATTGTCCTCACCCATATCAGAAGCAATATAGCCATACCTCTGGCAAATAAATCAATGCATGTTTACAGAGCGGAGTTTTTCCCAATTCACTGAAGGTGTCAATATAACAGCCCCAGTCTTTAAAAAGGGTGATCCGGCATCCAACAGCAGTTATCGGCCCATCTCAATAATTCCAGTTATTGCAAAGGTGTTCGAGACCGTTATGAATAGGCAACTATTGGACTACTTGGAGCGCAACTCTCTGCTTGTGGGTTGGGTTCCCAGCATGGGTTCAGGCGTGGTCGTTTCACCATCTTAACTGTCTCCGAGCTGATTGGAGATGTCCTAGATACATTCGGAGGATAGGGCTCTGCTGCTTTGGTCCTTGCAGATCTCAGCAAAGCCTTTGACACCGTCAACCATAAGATGCTACTAAAAAAAATTAGAAAACATTGGGATCGGCGGCAGTGTTGATGCCTTCATGTTTTATCTATATGCTTCAAGTCATATCTCAGTGACTAAAGACAAGTTCTGTCGATATGTAGAGCTAACTCCTCACCTGGATTAGTTGAGCATGGTGTCCCGCAAGGCTCAGTATTGGGACCGGTCCTCTTTTAGTAATGATAAATTACCTTAGTGTCATTGGAAGTGTCCTAATATTTGCTGACGATACAACAATTGTTGCCAAAAGGATCTACTCCAGTTTTCGCCAGGGCAAAGGCTGCAGAAGTCTTTGAGTTGGCAAATACTTGGTTCCAACCAAACGGACTGAGCCTCAACCGAAAAACCCCAAGAGATTGTGTGCAGTCTCAGTCGTACAAACACTGACGTTTTGGCAGGTGTATCTTCGGTCTGTTGGACCAATCACACCCTATGTGCTGTATTCGGTGTAGAGGAGTGGGTCGGCCGACACTCCTTAGACACAGCTGTTAATTAATAGCCCATACAGCTAGCTAATGGTAACTAAGGGACCCTACAGTTTATAGTGGATCCGAACCACATTTTTGCCTTGGTACGAATTGGTCTAACTATCAGGAAAATACTGCGGATAGTCGTAGTATACTCACTCGTACGTACGTTAATCCACACCAGGGAGTACGCATCACATACACAGTGCATGCCTATAAATATCCACATTTCGTGACCTCCTAGTAAGCTGGATTACAGGACAACGCCACCCGTCCCAGTGAGGGATAACCTACACCAGCTCATAACAAGGGGAATTCCACCACTCCCACAACCTTTCGTAACAGGGACCAGCTTCACATAGGCCTACCCTATTGCAGGCTGTCCAAAACACAAAGCTGTTTCCGCATTAGGGCTCTGAAGATATTGTACATGATGATCTCTCCCCAAAGATTTTAGACTTGTGAACCGTCCACTTTGAAAAAAGGCCAAAGCCTGGCTAATCGACAGACCACTGTACTCATATTTGACGAATATTTTTATGAGTTTCACCGAGTATAGGCTCAACGCCATCTTGCCTAAAGTATTGTAAATAGTGTACATATATTTTAGTATTATCCTTGACACAGTCTATCCAGAAATTCTGGTCAACGACGTCGCAGCAGGTATTAAAGGTAAAGGTACTCGCTGTTCTCGGTGCCATACTAACACTACTATTAAATAGTGTAATCAATCTTTGCTGTCCGCGTCGTGGTCTTGGTGTTCACTTCACTTTGCGTTCTCATTTTTTTTTTATGTTTTCGGTTAAATCCTTTTATACGCAATTTAATTCAGCACCTGGTTCAAAATTTGATAATTCTTTTCTCTCTCGTGGTTCGTATTGTATTTCAAACTAGGTACCTGTGTTTTAACTCCCTTTTCGAGCGAGTTGTAGGAACCCTCTGCCTTCTACATACATAGGAGCGTGCATATGCTTCCATGTCGCATTATATAAACTGAACTTATTATGAGTTCTCTTTATAAACTGTTTGAGTCTCGTTATGCGTGCGTTACCTCAAGTTTTTTTTGGCTTTAGTGAGGATACTGATGTTGTTTACTCAGGGGGCCTGAAACCAAACAGCTGTTACAACCCTTGTCAGGTGTTTAGTGCGGGTAGGGTCACCTAACCTAAACTTACCTCCGTTCGCTCGGACAGCTCGAGTAGTCCAGGGTTCTCACGCTAACAGTCTCCGTCGCTCGCTACTGCTTCTCGGCCCTCGTAAATTATATGCTATGAATTGCGTCGATCTACCAGTACACGAGTACACCGTGTGTAAGTCGGCACCTAGGAGGATTAATCCTCCTAGGTCGGCACATCAACGCACCGAACACTAATTACAACTACTGTATAGCACGGTGTCAGCACAGCCCGACACACTGACACAGAACAGCTAGATACAAACTAAAATGAAAATGCGAAGTAGAATAGGACACGAAAATATTCAGCCAGCTCCTAGGCTTAACGAAAGATGTCACTTCTAAAATAAAACTAAAAATAATCCTCTCGCATTCAACAGAAATGTCGCTAACTCGCGATAATTAAATATCGAAATAAGATAAGTCTGGTCTCATATGCCAATGCACTTCTTGGCTCTAGGAAAATAAATAAAATAGGATACTTAATATGAAATAAAATAAAATCGCTTTAGATAAATAAACTCAAAGGTGTAGGCTACTGCGACACTGCACTCGCAGCGTCGGTCGATAATATAGTATAGTCTAAGTCCTTAACGATATACCTTTACGATTAAAGTATAACCTTTCTCGCCAAAGTAAATATAAAGAGGGATTAAACGTATACACTAGCGATAACGGTGTACTTACGTATCACAATATTTCTCTATTCGATTTTCGAATAGATGTATCGCACGCCTTCGTCCGGATACGTTATTGGATTCGACACACAGCCTAAACAATGATCGGTGTGCGCGAACCTCTCGCTCGCCACAGACTATGTCCGGTCCGGTGGCGGTCCCTTGTCCGGTCCGGCGGTCTCGGCTAACTCCCCTACCCACCGCTACGTCAGCGCTCCGGGGTGGTGACGGCCGAGTCACGAACTAGGACATTTGACATGCCCAGTGTTACGTCGGTCATTGTTGTCGAGGGCGCTTGAGCAATTAGCGGCCTTAAGATAATGAAAACGTGCCCCTAACCAAATTTGACCAAATTACACTCTACTTGCGACGTTGCCACTTTCGAAGGCCGCGGACTGGAATTAAAGGCGGCCGCGTCCCAGGACTATGATTCGACAACATGGTGGCCGCCGTTGGGGTGGCTCTACCTACACCGGGTTACATTCGAAGACAATGGTCAATGCCTCCTTCTCAACTATACAGCCCATATTATATAAACTCTCTACTGTAGTTCTCATTTTATTTTCAATTTTCTGTTGATCTTAGATCTGGTGCTTCGAGTAGTTAATTGACTTTTACTCCAGTACAAACATTTGGAATATATTATACTAATTAATACTATCTATAATTCACAAACTAACTAACACTTCAACACATATTGACTTTGGATACTGCAAGTACAAATCCCATTTGATATGAACCTGTAGCATTAACTTTGGATACATATTTCAAGTAAACATCCTATTTATGTTAAACAGATCTACTATTGCGACTTTCGATACTGCAAGTAGGTACACATTTCATTTACATTCATTTATTGAGAATCAGATGTAGCATTTACTTTAGATACTGCAAGTAGGTATGGATAAAATTATCCTATTATTGACGTGAACTAGATGATTAACTATATATTACAAGTAGACATCTCTTAGACTTTGGGAATAACCATGGTGGAAGGATTCCACCATGGGGTATAACAAGAAGACATCCCATTTTTGTGAACTCAAGACCATTGGGAGCAATCATTTAACTTCTCAAAATTATTGAATCAATATGCTCTTCTGCTCAATTAATGTTTGAATTGCATTACTTACACATATTCTTTTGTATTTCTAACTCAGTGGGGTTGCTTTTTACGTTATCAAAAAAAATAGCTGGAGACTCAAACACAAACTAAAAGCTTCATGGTTTGTAATCCAGCCCAGCTTGCGTGCGTAAGACAAGACTGTACTACAACCACTGAGCTATAATTCTAACTGGAGGTAGCACTGAATGTCAAAGATGCGTGTCGCCAGCCGCCATGTTTGCGTGAGTCTGGTGTCATAAGAAGCCATATTATTGCTATAACTATTATTATACTTGGCTTAAAATACCTACTTTGTATGGTCGCCATTTCAAAGAAAATTATTAAAGTATTAAAAGTATTCAAGTATGACAAAAATACTCACTGCTATACCAACCTAGTTATAGAAGCCATGTTATTGCTATGGTAAGAAAACTTACTGCTATACCAACCTAACAAAATCAGCGACACGCTTTTGACAGACTTCTGCCATGGCAGTGCTACCTCCAGTTATAATTTTAGCTCAGTGACTACCAGTGTTGCCAATGCAATATGGCCCAATTACCCCCTCCAGAGCAAATAATTACCCGCTTTTTCTCAAAATTACCCTCAACAAACCAAAAATTCCCTTTTAACACTCTTGCCTGTCTCTAAAAGTAACGAATACAAACCCTGATAAATTAGTTTTGAGTAATCCCACAAATTAAGATGTAAAGAACTAAATATAGGACTTGAGACTTGTAATCAACCTTCATAATGAAATTTTCAATCTTACTGACCTTAAAAAAATAATTACATTAAGTTACTTAGGCCTACAATGATTTGGTTTTTTTTTTTATGATAGCCTATGTGATATAATTATTTAGTAATGAGTAAGTACTGTTAAAAATTTAATTTTTTATTAGTTTTAGGGAGAAAATATAGTTATTATAACCAATCAATATTATTATTCCCCTGTTTTATGTTTTTCATCCTCTTTAGAAGTAGACTAGAGACTAGTTCCACCATGGTATCAGGCATTAAATTAAGGCCAGGCAACCAAAAGTTTTTCCACTCCATTCCAAAAGAAAAGACTACAAACAACCGTACTTACTGAAACTGAACCGAACCGAACCGACTGAACGCTGTAGCCTACTAGTGACTGAGTGAGAACTGAACCAAACTGATGAAGGTTAAGAGAAGTAGTGTACAACAATAAAAAGTCTATAAAATTACTTTAATGAAAAAAACAGGGAAATATTTTTCTTTTAGTGAAATATAAAAGTAATAATACGAAAAACAAATAATATTTGATCAGTTGTCATTTACCCGCTTTTTACCCGCCTATTTGCCATTACCCGCAGCATTACCCCCAGGTAACTAAATTACCCGCTTTTCGGGTAATTACCCGCTTTTTGGCAACACTGGTGACTACAACAGAACAGACGGAAAGATAACGGATTGGTTTGGTTTATGTTTTAGGTTAAAAATTAAATCCAAATCAAAACAATGATGAGCCAATGATGTGTAGGTGATCTTTCTGACGGACATTTCGGATTTCAATATATTTTATGTTTTCATATGAAAATCTTGGACAAACATTTTCTATCATGGATAAAGATCAAATTTGTGTGTTATCTGGACTTACGTTGTTTGCATTAGGCATTGGGGCGTTTATAATTTGGGGTCCTAACTCTTCTCCTGCAAGGCGAGGTAAGTAATCATAAACTTATGGGCTAGTAGGCCTAGGCCTAGCTTGTCCCAAAGGCTTTAGGCCTAAATGACGAAGTGTCTACTACAGTATTAATTAATTAAAGGGAGCAAGCCCACATTTAGCCAAAGTTTTATGCCACCTGAATAAACTTAATTCCTTTATTTCTGGCTTGTTTGGGCACAACTTTAAATAACTTAGCCAAGATAATTCCAATCCATAAAAAAGATTATCCTGAAAATGTTTCTCGGCTCTGCTTCCTTCTGTTTCAAAAATATTTTGGTAAATAGTTTCTATAGGCTACTAATACTAAATAACCTTAAAAACTATATGCTAGTAGTGATGTAAAATACCCAGGTATTTAAAACTCAGGGTAAATACCCTGGGTATTTACCCGGGTAAATACCCAAAATCCATAAATACCCGGGTATTTTGGGTATTTATGAAATCAATTGAAATTCATTTTATCCACCCCTAAATATGTTATTGTTATCATTACATGATAAATTAGGATAGTCTATAACACCTTTTACAGTAACTTGAAGCTTTGCTAGTACCTTTTATTTAAAGATTTAGCACTTTTTTTATGAAATCAAGACAACACCTCATCAAAAAATAGTGAACCTAAACCTACTTCTACTGTTATTAAATTATGATAGTTAACAAAATTTGTATTTTGTTAAATGGCTTGGAAGGCTAGACAGACCCAAGGCCTGATTGATATAGGCAGAATGGCAGAATACTGAAAGTACAGTAGACTCCCTCTTATCCAGACTCCTCGGGACCGAGGCTAGTCCAGATAACGGTTTTTCTGGTTAAACCGACGTCCCCAAAAACTTGTTAAAACGGAAACCGTGTACCGGTACTGTCCTATTCGACTTTAATTTAGGAGAGCATTGTATTTAGATACGTGATCACTGGTCTCAAATCTTTCCCACGAGAACAGTCGTTTCAGTACCGCTCACTTCTTGCCAATCTAGTCAGGTTAAACCAATGGGCTGGTAAAAATTTTCCAGTTAAAAGGTGTCTGGATAAGAGGGAGTCTACATTAAACTCTTCTGTGTTACCGCTTAGTTGGGAACAATAATATATTTGGATAAACCTACTAAAAAATTTATCTCCTGTTTTTTGGTCTAACTTTGATATATTTTTGAAAGATTTATTGAGCTATAGATTCAAATTTGTTGTATCACAAGTTTATGAAATTAGTTTTATTTTTATTTTGATACCAACAAAAGATCTAGAACAAAAATATTATTAAATCCTGCCATCCTACAGTTTGAATTTTAATTATTTTCTTAAGTTGTTTACACATAGGCCACTACTAGGTTAAATTTTCCTGTCTTTCTAAATAATAATTATTATTTTACAAATTATTTTTCTTCACTTTAAATAAAATAAATTCATCTATCTATCATAGAAATTAAAAAATCATAAGTAGTCAGGACCAGTGCAACCATGCCACAAGGGTATTTATGCCGATTATGCTTTATGCTCAGACCTGGGTATTTATGGTGATCATACCGAGAAGTAAAATGCTAGTAGTGACCATATTAAATTTTGTTTAACACATTTTATTATCATTTTGCTATCTTTACAAGGTAATAATTGCAAAAAAAATCTCAATCTTCTCTAACTTTAATACAAATGATAAATACCCAGTTTTTGGGTATTTACCCGGGCCTGGGGTAAATACCCAGGTAAATACCCAATTTATATTTACCTACCCACTGGGTATTTACCCGGCCCACATCACTATATGCTAGCATATTAACTAAAACTATACTAAGCTTAGGCCTGTATTAAAACTTAATCCCATCATATCCAGATCAACATAACGCCTATTTGGTGACTTGAAGCACAATTTCAGGCCAGGAAGGTCTGTTATAAGTGCTTCAGTTTCTTTCAGAATCAGTTACTTAGTTAAGTTAAGTTTTTGGTAACTTAATAAGTTATAAGTTAGAGTCAGTTGGCAAGGGGACATACAAGTGGCATATTTATGGACTTCTCAAGATCATTACAGTGTTAATCATCTAATTTGAATAGGCTAGAACAATTAAAGAATAACTTATTGGCATTTCAAAAATATAAGGTTACTGTAATGTAATTTTAGGTGTAGGCCTATCTAAATTGGTTCAAGTTAAGTTACATTTATCATAAATAGATATCAGGATGTAAGCATAGAAGTAACTTAAAACATTTGTCACCGAATAAAAAATTAACAAATATCTTCAGACCTGGAACTTAGTAAAATATGGTGTCCCACAGGGATAATTTATTAGGACCTTTGCTTTTTATGGCTATATCTCAAGGATGACTTATGGTTCTGTCTTATAAGAACAACGATCAGCTTTACCTAGCCTAAGTTACCGTATATGCCGATGATTCCAATTAAAAAATAGGTTTTTAACATCAAACTTCATTAAGTTAGAACAAATGAAAATAAGTTACAATGGTTTGTAGAGCTAAGTTAGAAAATTTAAATGAATGGTAGGCCTACTTAAAAATGATGGTAGTTTGGTATTATCCGGAGAACACCCTTATACAGCACGTTGCGGCGGTTATGTTAGGTTGGGTTATCATACACTGGGATATTATGTAATTTTTATATGTCTACTTACAGTATTTTTTACGCTGAACCCAAAAATGCAATAAGTTTTTGTCGGAGAGATTCCTAAGTTAAATAATTAATATTAAGTGTCAGTTTTGTTGATTTTTATTTGTGGTATGGGCGAGTCCAAGTTCTAGTGGCGACTAATACTAATAGGGGTGGAAGGTTTGTGGAGTGGAAACAGCTGTCAGTTGTTTACATTTGATACTAAACAGACAAAACCACACACGACGCCATGAGAGTAAAATCAGATATACAATATGTAAGGTAAACCTACCAATCGTCGGAAGCCTACCAAACATCGGAAGCGGCGATTTTAAACTAAAATAATAAGCGTCTGAGTAAAAAAAAAGCAAAACAAAATCCAACAACGTATTCTGTGGTAGGCCTATTTGGTTTTTGAAAACATACTCTTTGTCATACGTCACTGAAAAACGTAATTTAGTTGGCCGTGGTTGATCGGCAAGTTGACAGTTTGGCGGGAGTTGACGTCTGTGCTAGCGCTTGAACTAAGGATTCAGGTAAGTTTGATAAGGGTTAGAATAATTTTAATTAAGTATATTAGTGTCACAAATGTTTTATAGGCTAAATAGATATATAATCTTGACTTAAGACTATAATAAGAGTGTTTTTTAACGTACTTAAATAATTTATAAGGCTTCCGAACTTAGGAAGCTTAAAATATACGTTTTGCCAAATATCGGAAGCGGTGTCCGGACTTAGGACTAACGGCCGTCCTAATTTCGGAATATGTGTTCAGAAGGCCTTTTTATTTAAATTTGTGACTTTTCTTGAGAAAACAAACCTATTAATCACTATTTCATGATTTTGTATGAAATTACCCTTTGAAATTTACGCAAAACAACCCATGATTAAGATGTTATACACTGTAAAATCCTTGTAACAAATTGACGATCATGGACGGCCTATGACTTAACTATGCGTTTTTATGGACTTTTTATTAAATTTTGAGGTCATTCTTTAAAGAAAAAATCATATTAATAACTTTTTATTATTATATAATAAAATTCCCAGTTAGAATTTCCGCATAAAACACATAATTAAGTTGTTTTAAACTGTAAATTCTCCAAACAATGTTGGCGGTTTTTGTACGGCCGAGGTCCGGACTATTTGTTTTGATGGTCTTTTTAGTTAAATTTGTCGTAATTTTATAAGGAAACAAACATATTACCGTTAATCACATTCTATGATTTTTTTATTAATTACCAATTAGAATTTATGCATAAACCCTATAATTAAGTTGTTATGGTGTTGAAAACAATTATGACGATTTTGCGTGGCATGAGTTCGGACTGTGTGTTCTGATGGTCATTTTTATCTAATTTTGTCGATATTTTTAAAGGAAACAAACATTTCAACCGTTATAAATAAAATTTTATGATCTTGGATGAAACCGCTATATCAAATTTGCTAAAAAAATCATAATTAAGTAAGTTGCCACTACACAAAAACAGGGCCTTACGCCGGCCTATTCGATATAATTGTGGATGTTCCAACCTATGCATACATTCTGTGACATTTTGTTTCTTTTTGTCCCTTTTGGCTTATAGCTTTTTGCAGTATTTCGTTTGTTTTTCAGCATCATGCCAGCACCAAACCGACCGCACGTGCGACGTCGCTACACACAAGATGAATTAAACGTAGCTTTGGACGCAGTTAAGCAGCATCTTTGCAGCTGCTAAGCAGTTTGGCATCCCCAAAAGCACCCTGCATGATAAAATAAGGGGCAGAACCAAAGAGGAGGCCATCATTGGCAGGCCTTCTGTGCTAACTCCTGATGAAGAGGAGGCAATAGTACAGTGGGTCCTCCAGATCGGAAAGATGGGGTTCCCACTAACGAAGGAACAACTCATTGAAAGCGTGGCTCGTATCATAAGTGAGACCAACCGGGAAAACCCCTTCACAAATAATATTCCTGGGGACAAATGGTACGGGTTGTTCCTGAAGAGACACCCGACCATTACTGAAAGAGTGGCACAGGGCCTAACAACAGCCAGGGCTAATGTTTCAGAGGATAAAATCCGACAATGGTTCCGAGAGGTTAGAGAGTATTTTGAAGGCAAAAACCTCATCAGTATTTTTGAAAATCCAGGAAGGATATTTAATGCAGATGAGACGGCCTTCTTTCTATGTCCCAAAGGCAGGACAGTTCTTGCCAAGAAAGGGGAGAAGGCTGTCTTCACTGTCTCTGGAAACGATGAAAAGGAATGCATCACCGTACTCATGACTGGAAACGCAGCTGGGGACCTGGCTCCACCGATGGTGGTCTACTCGTATGAGAGAATTCCTGCGGTGATCGGCCACACCTTTCCAGACGAGTGGGCCATATCGAAGAGCGAGAGTGGGTGGATGACCTGTGCTACCTTCTAT